TTCAAATGCGACCCTTTGGAGAGGTGACTAAAGACGCTCGTCTCTACATGACAAGCAAAGATCTGTTATTTATACTTTATTTTACATCAAAATGTCCAGTAAAGTTTGTTTTTGTTCATTCGTCGATGTGACTCGTCATTTTTATTTATATTTTACAGCCTCCAAAAAGGCAAAACTAAAAATAATAATAAAACTAAAAAATAAATAAAATAAAAATATTGTCTGTTTAAGTTGTAATGCTTACCCTCTCAATCCGTAGTTTGCATTATTTTAGTTTTTCTTCCATGTGATATATTTTTATGACAAGTTTAACACTTATCATGTCTGGCACTAATCAACCGAGAGGGGTTTTTTTTGTTTTGTTTTTACCTGAATTCAGTTAACAGTTAACAGCATCCTGCCAGTCTCTTATTGCCGCTTCGGACACTTCACCGCCTTCGGATCTGTCGTTTTGTGAATTGAATTAACCATCTCACCAGCAATAAATTACGCTAATAAGCCAAAAGGAGACGTTTACGCACGAGTAAAAGTGTCACTACGAGAGATTTCTTGAAGGTCTTTCACAAAATAATTAAAAATGAATGAAGAAAACATAAAATATAGTTGTCCGTTAACCTCTCAAGCCCCGGAGCAACGTCTTTTATTTGTTAATTTACTGACTGAACCATAAGACACTGCCCTTCATGTCGGATGGCATTGTTTTGAGCGCAGGGCAACGTTTCAATGGCTCTAATTAAACGAGGCTAAGTGAAACAGGTGTTGACTAATGTATATGATAATTATAAGATAACAGATGCGTGTGTGTGTGTGTGTGTGTGTGTGTGTGTGTGTGTGTGTGTGTGTGTGTGTGTGTGTGTGTGTGTGTAAGGGGGTTGTTAGAGATAAGAGGTGAAGATTACACCTCTTATTCTGCTGTCCTCCTTCATGCCCTTCAAAAGAGTCGAAGTAAAGCTGAGTGTTTGTGTTCAAAGGAGCGCAGCTCTGTTATCTGGCATAAATTTGACTATCTTATTAACAGCATTAGAGGTGTAGTGTTGGTTGTGATAGCAGGAGTGCTTGTATTAAGTGGTAAAAGAAGTGTTGAAACAAGCAGAGCTGACACTTTAGAAAAGATTAAATTCAGTCTTCTCATTTTAAATTGACGACCTTTAATTTTCACCTGCAAGTTGCTATTTTTGTTGTTGTTCTTTGGTTTTCATTTGGCTTCTTGGGTTGTTTGTTTTTTTGTTAGTTTTTTTTTTTACAGTACTTTCAGTCAGCTTTGATTTTGCTATTTTTGTTTTAATTTGTTTTTTATGATGCATTTCTGTAGCAGCACAATGTTCTTCTAAATCTGAATAACCTCTAGCAATTATCTCACTTTTTGCACTGTCTACGTATTTATTTCCTTTATCTTTCACATTAATCTAGGCTACATATGCAAACATGCTGCATATTTTTCACAGATTAAAGAGAAATTTTAAACTTTTTACTCCACTGCACTTATTTGAAAGCTTCCTGTATTTATTCTTGCAGTGTAAAAGACCTACTTGTTTCATCACAGTTGGAAGTTTACAATAAAAACAGAAGATGGACAAAAGCGAATAGCAACGGCATTTCTCTGAGTGTAAATACTATTGTGTATGCTAAATACAGTGTAAGAGATCTTATGAGGGTTTCTGCTGCTGAGTATGCTGATACTACGAGCCAGAAAAAAATAAGTGCATTGCAACTTTTGGTAGTTCTCAAGCAATAAGTAAGAGAAAAGTGATGCAGGAAAGAAGTTAGTTATTATTAATTTAAAAAACAAAACCTTAATTAAAACGTTTCTGTTCTTTCTCTCTTACTTTTATTATTTTTGATAAACTCTGTATTATCTTAGAGGTATTTGTAAGATTTTGCTAAACAGGGTAAGTATGTAAACAGAGGTCCAGATGTAAAGAGAGTGGGAACTCTTGGGGGTAGCATTAGAGGGGAAAAAAACGTAGGAAAGGTGGGGGAGGGAGGGGAATTTATTTGGGTGCGGTCCACATAGCCTAAAGCAAATTTGTACAAGAGTAACAATGGGTTGACTAGGGAGCAAGGAGAAGAAGGCTTATGTCTTCAGTAGTCTACATCTCACAACACAAACAGCTCAGGGCAGCAGCCTTTGTCCCTCCTGAAGAACGTCTTTTCATTCTCTTCCTCTTTTGGCAACTCTGCCACAATACAGGTGTTGGTCCTGCTCTGACAGGTTTGGCTTGCACTGTTTGCTGTTAGGATGTCAGTGATTTACAGGAGAGAAAAGTGACCAAATGGAAGACGATTGTCCTCAGTACCCTGAGAGATAATGCAAGATAGCAGAGAGGATGAACCCATCTTCATCTGTGATAACATCTGAGCCCGTGCTCTGTGCTGAAACAATGCTCTATATCCTCCTGCTATTAACAAATCCTCTGCATATTTCATATTACAGCTCACTAAACACGATGTGAAGTTTAATAAGACCCCTTTATTTTCTTATTTTGGGAGCGTAAAATGCTGAATGACAGTGCAAGTGGTCTAATGATCAGGTCAAGACAATAGGTGTAGGTGTGACCTCAATTACAGGCCATCCCATACCCTCAAGCTGACAAAGGGACTAAACATGCAAGTAGAATAGCTCATATGTAGGTGCGAAGAAGACAACAAAAGCCTAAATAAAAGCTTTAGCAGCTTTAACACCTTTTGCTTGTTAGTTTATTTTTGCTGCACTCGATACGGAAAAAGGAGAAAGTTTACAGAGATTTGTAGAACCAGAAGATGGCAGTTTTGTTTCAAGTTTACCGTGTAAGATATTGAAAGGTATTTGTATAAAAGAGGCAAAATGAAACGACAAAGTTTGCGATTTCGTTTGTATAATTTCACACACGAAAAAAATCCCAGCAAATCCAAGGGTGGATTTAAAAAAAATCTCAGATGGTCAATTGGCAATAATTATTTAATGCTTCCCAGGCAGAACTCCTTAATGGGATTTTCCTGGGGCACCAACACAAATGGAGAGATGTAAGTAAAATGTGAATGTTATCAAGCTCTCCCACCTCTTTGCTATCTGACCCCCTCTTCCCAGACCCCCTTCCATTCTTTGTCCTTTGTCATTGCTCTTATCAGGACCACTCTATCATTCTTTCAAAATAGTAGTGGCGCTGAAACCGCTTGCAAATGTAAGTATGTCTTTGTTTAGGGCTGGGCAGTGGCCCGCCTCCCAGCTCCCTCCTGGGTGTTGTCTGATTGACGGCTCTCCACTGGGTGAGTGACAGGCGGCGTTGGTTAGACAGTGACGGCCAGTGTGACAGCTGGCGCTGCTGCTGGTATCTCCATGCATCGGGCCCCGGTAGGTGGGTGCTGGACCCCCAGGATCCCTCAGCTAGAGGCCTGGCCAGTTTGCCGTGAGCTCAGTCAGATCAGTTCCCCGGTGTGCTTGTTGTTGCAGATCAGCTTGTTAGCTGGCTGCAGACTTTTTCTTCACCACAGCTGAAAATTTCTTCCACACATGTGCAACAGAAAAAAAACAGGACGGTGACATCAAAGTTAGATGAAGGGTGAGAGGATGAGAAATTTACAAACATGCATATTGTTAAAAACAGTCCCTATTTTGCATTTTTATAAGCAGAATAAACAACTGATAAATGGATTCTGACACAATGTAACGGTTAACAAAAAGAGCATTTATTTAGCGGCTTTACTGTATCATGTTAAAATACTTGAGTAAGCACTTTTCTCTGGGTGTGTATCTTAAAGTAGTTTATATACTGATTATGAATGCTAAATACTGGGATTTAAAGTACAATCTTGTCTTTTTACCTTTGTAATTACTAATATTTGTTATCTCACATCATCCTCCAGTTTCCCTGTAGATATGTAGAGTTAAACAATAAGGATGACATCTCAAAGTTATATTATAGGCAGCATCAGTGCAACAGTGGCCAAGATGGACTGCATGCACACAATGTGTTCTCCTTTATTTACTGCGTAACAAAAGTTTCAACAGTATTGTTACCTCAGAGCTATGCAGAAATTCTCTCCAGTTGAGCAAACTGAAGTTCACACATCTATTATTTTCTTTCTATGGTCAAACAGAGAGCAGCTAATGAGGTTATTGGGCATCTGTGACGTGACATCTACATTTTGGCCTATTTGTGAAACAATGGTAACAAGGAAGCCAAAGACATTGGGCTCTGTGTTTTTCAACTCAAAATAACAAAGCCAAGCAGCCGCTGGTGGGAGGCTGCGCTCTCATGGAAATGAGCAACCGAACCAACAATGTAGCGCCTAATCTCTTCAGAGAGAGGAATCAGTTACACAGCAGTATGCACCCCTCAATGCTTTTCATTAGAGTCAGCGTGCTATTGAAACAGTCGCTCCACCCCCTGACTCACACACATACATGCGCACAAACACAACCCTCGTGTGTAGCCACAGGCCTTACTCATACATGCACCAGATACAAGGTAGCCCCCCGACAACAGGAGGGTTGAAATAAGTGGGGCAGAGGGAGGTATGGGGGTGCGAGGCCTCAAAGCATCGGATTAAAGTTAATGTGCCCTCCCTGGGTTATAATCTCTTCAGAGGGGGACTTTGTTTGAGGGGCTTGAGGGCAGTAAGATAAGTATCTATTACAGAAACTCCCTCTTATCCCCCCCGCAACATCCCCGCTTCAAAAATGAAGCACAAAAACACTTGCCTCTGTTCCCCTCTGTGTTGTCTGATATCCAAGAACCAAAAGCAAGTGCTGCCCTTTTCAGCTAATCAGGTATTAAGGTCTAAAGCCGTATGGCGAGTTAGCAGGGCCCATATTTACTCCATCTGTAGCCCACCAAGTCATGTAGTTGAAGTAAGATCAAAGGCAGCTTAAAGAAAACCGGGGTTATTGTATAGAAAGAGAAAACAAAGCAATATTACAAGCCAGGGAAGCCGCGGTGTGAACGGCCAAGTCGATTTCAATGTCGCAAATAAGTAGACGCTCAACAATGTTGATGGAAGAAAATTCAAAGACACGCACCTTCATATAAAAGGCAGTTTAATTACAAAATATCTTCATTATATAAATAATGTGCAAAAATGTAACTGAGGCTAGAATTAGATTAAAAATAAATGACACAAAATGAGAATCTTTGCCAACAACATAAAAGTAATGAATATGTCACTTTTAAAGCATTAAAAGCAGCTGGCAACATCTTTAGAACACAATGTAACAACGCATTTTTAAAAAAAAAAGTTACCAGGCATTTTGATAAACAGCTGGTGAGCAAATCAAGTACAATCAGCAAACACCACTTTGTTTCCCTAACAATCCTTCATCGAGTAACAGAGTGACCTCATCTGTGCTCAGAGTTATTTTACCACCAAACTAAGAAAAACTGCCTCACGTCAGATACACAGTTATTCTAACCTGAGAGTAACCAGCAGGGGCACAGCAGAGATATAGGCTTGCAAAAATGCTAATACTGCTTTGCACTAAATCTCAAGATCTAAAAGGAAAAAAATAATAGTTTTGTATGTTTAGCCCAGTTACTACAAATTAGAAGCACAGCTGCCAAATATTATGCAAACAGGCAAATGCTTATTCATTTACTCAAGAAACTAATCTTCAGTGCTGTCTGAAAAGTCATTTGTAAGAAACCTGCTTTAGACAGCTTAGACACAACAAATATTTATCCTTGTTTTGATTGCATTATCTCATTACTGGGTGAATTTTCCAGCTGCTCATTTATAAAGTCGTGTTATAGACTCTGTATTTGAGTGTGAGCTGGTGGAGGAGGAGGAGCGCGAGAAAAAGAGGGAAGGTTTAGTATTTTATTTTTGTTGAAAGGAGGGCAATGAGCAAAGTTTTTTAAAGAAGCAGAGTGAAATCAAATGGTTAAATGCTAAATTTAGTGTTTTTGTGAATTATATTTGCAGTGAGGCACTGTTCTGTACATTCCCTTAAGAGTGTTAAGTTTTAAATAATACTTTTACCACATACCGTAATTAATGTTAGCTGCTGTCAAGGACTGAAGGAAATCAGTTTAACTGCAATGTTCAGCTTAAGTTATGGTGCATTTAAAGGACCGAAACATACAAAAGACATTAAATGATCCTTTTAAGGGCCAAGTCTGGTAACTTTTATTTGTATATATGGAAATGAGAAGTATTATCGCTCAACTTAAAGTCAGACTTTTTTTTTTCTGTGTCAGAATGCTCAGCCGTTGCTTAAAAACCTACCAACTACAGATCAGTGTGGTGTATTATTTATCATTAAAACTGTAGTTTATTTTAATCCCTAAATTCTTACTAAGCCAGCCGATGTACGACTAAAAATACTCTCCAATAATACAAAGTCTTGATTCGGTGGTCACTCTTAAAAATGTGCATTCTTGAGCAATTTTTTAAAAGTTAGAGATCTGAAAACCACTGAAAGGCTGAACAAGTATAGAGAGGGAGACTAAGACGTTATCATTTTTGGTCTTTTCATTGAATTTGTAAACAAGAAAACAAGAAAAATAGAGAAAATCACTAGCTTGACCATCATGGCCTCAGCTTAAGGAAAACTTGTAAGGCATGTGTCACTTTAAGTAACACTGAAGAACATTGATTAACAAAATTAAAAATTCAAAAAAATATTTAAACAAGCTGTGAGGAAAAATATGGATTATATGCATGAACAAGTATACCTGGTTTCTCTAATTTTGTTTAGGTGGCAAACATTTGATTGGATCTGTAAGCACAGGTGTGTGTGTGTGTGTGTACATATAATAAATATACACATTAATACTTGGTACATGTGTGTAAATATGAATGCCTGAAAGGGCAAAGTGAGTGACAGAGTGAGTGTGGGAACAGCGTCAGAGCTGGATTGATCCTGGAGTTTGTTTTCTCAGCGGGAGAATTTTCTGGGTCTAAAAGCAGGAAGTGCGAGCTGATGTGACGCTGTCCTCTCCTCCTCTATCGGAGCCAGCTCCTCTGCTGACCCCCACTTCTTCTTGGAGTGAAACAACGATGCCAACTTCCTGTTCTTGTTCCGCTCCCTGGCCTGAGTTACTTGAAACTCTGAAAGCAGAAGAAACAAAATTCATTAATGAGTGAAAGAACCACAGTGTTCTATACAGTGTCCGATGTTACACTAATAGTAGCTGATACATAGTAACAATGCAGGTGAAACTTTGTAGTGAAACCAAGGTTTGATGATTTCTGAGTCAATCAAATCCTTTTTTTTATTGCCATTAATGGGCACAAACTGTATAGAGGTGTTTCAGGACGGGACATGGCATACAAAAAAAACTTCAACATTTGGGAAAACAGTCCTCTCCTCTGTCTTGTCGAGTTTAGATCAGGAAATAAACACCAATGTGGTGTAGCTTAGCTTATCATAAACACAGAACACTGCTGTTCCCTCCTACACCAGATAGTTATGCAAAACTACAGTAACTGTCTACTTCACAGTTGGTGTGCAGACAGAGTGACATTCCTCTGTTCAAAAACAGAAGCGGATAAAATAAATCTGCATATTTCTATGGATGTCTTCCAACAGCCTTTTCAAATTTGAATTTGGGTCCAAGTTTAAGTTCCGCTGTCCAGAAATTCCTTATTTAATCCTTCATCCTTCAGTGCACATTGCTTGCAGGGGGTTTAAACAGTTAGGTACGTTTTTGAGTCCAAAACATCACAGATTTACTAATCAATAAAACCTGATCACTTCCTCTGTATTGAATACTGTCTTCAGTGTAGCTGCACTACAAGCCTGGATGAGGAGCAAGTGTTGTTTTTCCTTTTGGCAAAAGGAAAATGACTCAGGATGGGGTTACTGAATGTCACAGAGGAGTGACAGGGGATTCATAGTTTCTATTAGTGTCAGTGTCCATAAATATGCAGTTACATCAATTGTTATTTAAAAGAAATGAAACCTGTTGTGTTACTACAGTTAGTAGAATAAATTCGAATATAGTAGAATATATAAATATTATTAAAGAAAAGTGATATGCAAGTATTTAGATAGGCAGGCTTACATAATTTCTATGTTTTCCAAAATGTTGAGCTATTCCTAAAAAAATATTTTTACTTATTTATTATTTATTTATTTATTTCAACTTAAAGTGTGGTTAGAGCTGCTTAAATCAAACACAGTCCCAGTGACTTGTGATAAACCAAGGATTCCTTTTCAAAACCAAATGTTTAAAAAACTGCTTATGTGTGGACGAGGAGTTAAGTGTCAAATGTGTGAACTAATTTGTTTTACTTCATGCGTTCAGGGTGTATTGCTGTAAGAAAAGAACATGGACGTCAGCATATACGGCTGTATTTTCAGATTTTCCTTTGTACTGCCATGTGCCGTGTTTGTTTGTCTAATAACTATCCCTCCTAGGCTGCTGATTGGCCGACACTTCTATACTTCTAGAGTTATATCACCACCTGTTGCTTTTTGTGTTTTCTTCTGGATGTAGATATTTTTTTGAAACACTCCTATTGTGAACAGGAAAGTTTCTTTAAAAGGATATTTTAAAGAATTCATCCCCCACCTTGATTTTTAACATGCATCCTGCAGCATCCTGCAGCGGCAAACTCTTGCTATGCAGGGTGTCTCTGAAGAAATTATGATCACTGTTTGTAATGGTAAAGCTGCTGTGATGGGCTGATACAGACACACACTGCTGTGTGAAACGATCAACCCCAACCTGACTGGCATTCCCTGTTTGCAGATGTGGGTATTAGAGGGCCGACGCACTGCAGTTGTTGCTCTGCACAAAGCAGAAAACATCTAAGCAGACTACATATCTCAGGCAAGTCTGATATGTAGGAATGTAATGCAGCTGAATATCTATTTATTATTATTGATTCTATTTTGTGCAGCTGATATTGTTGATTTTATATTAAAATGTTGAAGTTAGATGACACAGTTGGCAAAATAGCACCGAGTGGACGGAGGATTTAATTCTCATGCGTTACACTGTTTGTATTGTTCCGTTTTACTTGATCACCAGTGTCTGAAAAGAAAAACATAAGACTGAGAATAACGCACATATCCCCCTATATCTTTTTTTCACCCCATGCACATTTGTGTGGATGAGCCTGAAGTGTATTAATCCTATTTTCAAAGGAGCTAATTCCAAATAAAGAATTTAAACAAAATACAAAACCACAGCAGGGAAGGTCATAAAATAGTTTTAGCAGCAAAACAAGAAGAATCATTCACTCACGTAGCTCACAGTCTTCATCTGGACCTTCTGCTTCTTTGATGTTAAGATAATGGCAGGCAAGATGACCACTGTAGTCCCGCAAGTTTTCTTTAGCCCCTGGTAAGACAAAAAATAAATGACTGAAAGCAGAGACTAAGCAGCAGATAAGCCTAAGCAGATACTTCACTGACATCTTACACCAAAAGCTTTAAGGAATGACACATAATCTAAAGGTAAACAAATCTACCTACATGAGGTAACCAGCTGTTACTCTTTAAATTACTTGCAAGATTCTTTTTCAGTGGCGAAAACTTGCAAAGGATTTTTTGTGGCACCAGTAGGTTAAACAAAACCACTTTTTACCGTATGTCCCTACGAGCAGGTCAAGAATGTGCCGATGTCCATGTAACGCTGCGATGTGTAAAGGTGTGTATCCCTGCAGAGCAAAAATAAGTGTAAAACAAAATGAAAACATGCAAGTACATGTGTATTCTGAAGGTAATTTCTTGGTGAGGCCGCTTGGTATGCAAACACGCCAAAAACAGTCACTCAACCGACACATAAAAAGAGTTTCGAGTTTACATTTTGACTTTGTGTGGAGGTGAGGGGAATAACTTTGGCAAAGTGCTGGAAGGTTGCTGAAAGTACCTACCCCCTAGAGTTTCCCAGGCCCAAGGACAGCCAATGAAAACAGCATGGAAAAGAATATACAAATTAGCAAAGGTTATGGAAACACCAGATAATGATAAAAACATAATTGCATGTAATTCTCTGAAAATTGCATAGTTGTAGAGTTGTGCATGCTGGCACATTGACGCACTGTTTTGGGAAACAATTAAAATGACATGACATGATTTATTAGCGGAGTAGACCCGCAGCAGCCCCGCAACACGTGCTCCTGTAATACATTTGTACAGCTGGATCTTCACAGAGATCTTTTAGGAGCATTACATCACAGCAGAAGAGGCCAGCAGCGAGGCGGTTGTTCTTTCAAGACAAATCATTTACTGTACATTACCCATCCGTGCCCGGGAAAAGCCTGGTTACTCACGTGCTGCAAGAAAGAAGAACGCCATGAAGAAAACAATGACTGCGATTTTACACTAAAGCATAACTGGAATAAAATTTACAAAGGCACTGCTGTGGTTTCAGTTCACCCACGATGGAGACACTGCTTATAAAAACAGCTGTAATTTATTCTTTGTCTCTGGTGGTAAGCCTAGAGCCTGAACTTTTAAGCATTCAGGCTAAACTAGCCAAACAGCCATTCATTAAAGTGCAATTTAATGAATATGCAATATTGTTGCTTGCATTTATACTTGTTTGCTGATAGATCTGCATTAGTCTGCCATAATACGTCTTCTACCTTTTACATTATCGTCAAAGAAGTATGTATATACTAATATAGTACTTAAATGTTTTGGACCGATGAATCAAATGACAGGGTTTCATGCTTTTCTGTGCATACGAGTGCTCCAACTGTGACTTGGATAATGTTAAATATAAATAGGACTTCTACATTAGTGGATAGTATAAGACATGGATACTGGGAAGTGAATGTTAGAATATGTAGGGATTCTTTTTATTTGGATACATGTTTTAGAACTTAAATACATAATGTGAAGCATGAAATCGTTAAGAGTGCCCTTTTAAACTTATTGTCTAAAGTTAAGGGGAAAAAAAATGCACTCACTGATTTAATGTTGACATCGCCACCGGCATTAACCACGAGTGTGGCCATTTCCTCATTGCCATGTTTGGCAGCCCAGTGCAGAGCTGTCTGTTTGGAATAGGGAAACATTTGTTAGTCCTAAAAATATGATCAGATAATATTTGGCATTATTACAAGTGGTCCACAGTGAGCTGGGCTTCTTATTGGCTATCTGAGTTCAGAGGGCCAGCTGTGCACGGGGGAGGGCTGTGGAGAGATGGTAAGATGGAGGGATGGTTTCCTGCCATCTAACGAAGCCTAATTACAAAACAACACAGCCCTGTGCCCACAGTTGGGGGGCCCAGCCGCCTGTCACCAGGGGGAAGATTGATGATGTTAGTGTGACCCGCAGAGGGGAGACCCACCCAGACATCACCGCACTACTGTCAGCACACGTCAAGGAGGAAAACAAGAGCTCCCATGATAGAAGTCTGAGAGATACACGGAGAGGTCCTCAAGCAAAAATATGTTCATAGGTGTGAAAATAATACGCATGTGTACACGCAGCACATGCAAATCATATCCACCTGTCTGACTAGAACTGTGATCTCCTCTGTTTTTCCTACACTTTAAGCTGCATAATTATGGGCTATCAACAGGTGAAAGCAGCGTAGGTGCAGATGTCAGCTAAGTAACCACATCCATCCCTTCAGCAGTTTGACCCTTAACAGAGCAAATCAAACAGTAACCATTTCAGAATTACATGTTAACTGCGGACAGATGAAAATCCCTGTAACCTCTTTACTTCGGTTAACTGAACAGCTTCACAGGGGATCAAATAAAATGAAAAAAACTCTTTTATCGTGATGATTTTATGAGTTTAACTGGTCGAACGATCTCACTACTACTATTCACTGCTACAACATAACATAAAAAATACTGACGTTATTTGATAAAAACGTGTGGCTGTGAAAAATCAGCAATGATTTTTTTCTTTCTCTCAAATTAGAAGCACACTGCATTATATAAATTACCATTACAACTACCAGTACACTTCCGTTACAAAGCTAAATATCTCTGTTTTCTTTAAAATAAATACTTGACAGTCTTTGAATGCCTCAGATCTTTAAAAAACTTGCAGCTGTTTAAAAATGTGTATAATATATATACCTTTGTGTGTAATATGTATAAAAATTCAATCTTTTGGACAAATTAAGTGGATATATTAGCATTTTGTCCTTTTTTCTGTCATACCCCATTAGTAATAAATCCTCATATTATGTTCATTTTCACAGTGAATATTTCAAAAATGTTATATCAGTCAAATTTGTCAGCATTAACATGCGTATTGTGTAACTTGTGTAATTTCCACCAATCTGTATGGGAAACAGAATCTTCTGTACCCACGAGACTAGTAAAAACGGTCTTATTAATGCTGTCAACACCTTTTTTTTAATGTAGTAGATGCTTAGAAATGTTGGGACCAGATAAAGTTTCTCAGAGGATTGGATGGTCAACCTGTGACTTAAATATCAAGAGAAACTGACACTACCAGTGCTTAAAATTTTGTCCAGAACTCCTAATGCTCATAGCAAAACAAGTTGGTTCAACAGCTGGCAACAGAAAAATCTATCTTATCCACTGAAGGCAAAGAGGAAGCCATATGTAGCTCCATCTCTCTGCGTCGCTCGTCTGCGAGACAGATTGTGATAGATGCTGTCTGGCTGGAGTATCTCCATCTCTTTTGTCTGTCCCCTGTCACAGCTTAAGACAGATTGGCCAAGGGGCTCTTTGACAGGCGGCTCAGCGGGTTTCTCAGTGGGCAGGAGTGATGGACGAGGCTGAACAGGATGCTGCGTCTTTCCCTCCTGCACCTCTCGTTTCTGTTCCTGCACACTGAGGTAACCCCCCACCTGTCTGCTCACTCAGGGATGGCTCTGTCCCCACCACGTGCTCTCCAGTGAGGGAAGTGGTGGCTAAAGAGGACATCGACAGGGGACACAAAGGCCTTGTGTGCCTGACACTTCCCTGGATGTGGAGGAAGATAGAGAGGAGTGATGGGCTAATGATGTACTTACAAACTGTGTGGCAGGGGAAGTCCATCACGGCAGGAACGGAGGCCCACGTAATGAGGAGAACAGGAAGAGAGAAAGGCCATTAGACTCTGGGGTGAGAAGTGCTGCATTCAGGTGAGATGACCTGTGTTAAGCCTTCACTTTTAGGTCACTGTTTGAAGAGCATATCTATAAATCCACCTTATCCTCACAAACATTTTGTCAGAACAGGAAACACTTAAGTCCTCCCAACACTGAAGGGTAATCCCTTCAGTGCTGCTCAAACGTGTGATTTGCAGCTTGCTATGTGGTACACTCGGCTAAACCTCTGTTAAGTAAAATCAAGCCAGCAAAAGATAAAATATAATAATTCCCAGTGTTAAAGACGCCAGCAGTCGTGTGACTTTTTGATTGTCGGTATCACTGTGCATTATCTCTGGAAATGCTTCTACCACTGCAGAGCAGGGAAAGGCTGAAGGCTAAAGAGGAACATCAAAGAGGCCTGAGGGGGAATTAGCACCTTCCCAGGGACACAACCAGCATTGTTCTACAATTAATCCCAGCCTCCTCTATTACTTTCAGATTATCTTTAAGTGGGTGAACTCTTTGTGGGGCATTAAGACTCTCCTTAATCCCCCCCTCCCTCCCCATCTCCCTAAACTTCAATGGCGGCCGTGCTATCTTGTCCGGGTAGAGATGGCAAAGGCTTAAGGCTACTCTTAGAAGGTGGTCTGCCATGGCCACAGGACGGTGTGAGAACTGTGACACAGGGGAGGGACAACAAACAGGAGCTCAAAATCTCTTAAGCGCACAGGGAGACAAATAAAAGGATTTGGGTTGTCAGGGGGGCACAGGAGCTAAAAAGCTATCTTTCATAATCCTTTTGATAGTGGACCTTTGAAATGCGTGATCTGGATGTTTTAACACAGAGTTCTCAGAATACTATTAAGGGGAAAAAATTGCAGCAGGATGAGCTTGTAAACGTTACGAAAGCGAAAGACAAATCTGAGTACAAGTCATTGCAGATGCATTGAGAATTTTCCCAAAGGGCATTGGAAATGAACTTCGAATTTCTACAGGATGCAGATGGAAGTATGATGTGTGAAACTTACACCCTGGAAAAGGTGGGCACGGTCACAGCCAGGGGCCATCGTGTGTCAAAAAGAGAACGTGAGAAGCAACAGGTCAGAAATAGTCATTGAACGATAAACAACGACGAACACAAAGTAGATATAATACTGCAACATGCTACGTATAGGGTATCAAATACTCACTGAAGTGAAATCCTGGTTTCACCGTCCCACCAAAAATAGAACAAAAACACAAGTATTAGTGAAAACAAATATTAATTATTATTCCAGCCATTTGAAACGGTTAGATATGTTTTCTTTTTGTTTACTCATCTTTTTTTCAGTCATCATTTATTTATGTCTTTAATACTAGAATAACCATTGAATTCTGACAGGGACAGAAACACAAGCAAGGAAGCAATCAGATTTTATCCTTACTCAAGTACTTCCTGGAACTACAGAACCAGCAGAGTTTTAAAGCCGCTTTTGCTCACTGCTGTAATTTTCCAGCAGGTGTGGACTGTGAAGATTAAAAAGACGAGACCAAGAATAGCTTTTTAAAAACCCCTGATGCTGTTGTCTGTATTAATGCTGTGTGACTAATTGTTTCAGTAAACATAATAAATAAATAAATAGACTGTGTAAAGTAAGTTACAAGTTACTGTGTAAGTACCAAAGGGGAGACAAATTTCCTCTAAAGCTCTTGCACTGTGATGACCAACCGTTAGTTGGAACATGAATCAGGAGGTCAGGGTGTGGATTGTGATGCTATGTCAGGAGACTCTTTAAGTACCACTAAAGTCTGTCAGGTGATGCTGCTATAAAGTAATACCTGCAAGGTGAAAACTTCTGAAAACTACAATTTTAATGTAACACTTCAGTCGCGCAGGGCTCGGGACCATTTGGTAAACCCCTGGCAATGTCCGATCACGAGGGAAAAATGTGTATTCCACCCGACTGGTTGGTGAGTAGTTGCTGGCTGAGCATATCACCAAAAACCTTCTTGTGTTTGCTTTGGTCACTACCAGACTGCTTCTTTGCATAAGCCCAACAACTACCAACTGAATTGTCCCTTCAGAGTAGAAATTCTGCCCTGCTGCACTTTTTCAAAAGCACAACTTTGCAGCACCACATACCTCTTTGCAACTGATTTCCATGTAAAACTGATCTTCTTTCCATGTTGCATTGTGAGAAGATACATTTTATTACTTCACCTGTCGTAATTTAGCAGGTTAATTAACATTCGTATCTTTGTTTATACTTTTGATTGTAAGAAGTATTCTTAACTTATCAGAGACCTTTTTTTCATGGGTTTCTTCATGGAATACCTTCTTAGCAAGTTGACAGTCTAGCGAGGCCTCATTAAAATTTACCTTGTGCCCACTTTGTTATATTATATCTGTCCTTCGCCAGCGTTACCCAATTCCAAAACAGTTTTCAATAATAGTTTTACCATTTTTTCCTTTTCTAAATAAGTCTGGAAAAGGAGTTATGTGTTTAAAGTGAAACTTTCTGATTGTTTGGCTGTTTGTGTTTTTTGCCCCATCAAATCCAGTGATAATAGTAAAATGTCCAATTTGTACTAAACTGGATTTATCCTTTAAGCACTGAGGCAGAGGGCAGCACTACCTTCTTGTTTGCCAGTGCGCGGTCCTGTCTGAGCAGCTGAGAGAGGTCAGGGACTCGAGCACCGGCAGCAGAATAGATCCACTCCTTCTCTAAAGGATCCAGCTAGGACACACACACACACAAACACACACATCCTGTTATGGGCTCTTTTGATAGTGCTGAGGCCACAAACCTCTAATCCATTTCCTACATGCTACTAGTCACAGCCAGCTGACACATTGTGGGAGACGCCCATGATGAAGCTGGTTTCAACAGTTTGGATTTTAACGTCTGCTGTTTGTTTAGTGAAACCACAGGGGGAGTGAATGTGTATTTACAAGGCCAAATCCATGATTGACACATGTTAATGAGACAAAAAGGAAACTTCAGCGGCTCTACTCCTGAAATGGTTCACTTATATCTCTTCATCAATAATAAAGCAATAGAAAAAAGAGCTAGAAGCACTTACAGCGACAGAAGCAGAGCCCATACTGCCTGTACCCTCCTCGTCTTGCTCCGACTCAGACTGAAACACAAAGTCAGAAGAGTGTTACTCAGAGGTGACAAAAAGCTGAGCTCTGATAAAAGTTAACTACTGTTTCAGTCATAACACTCCCACAACATGATTTGAGATCACAGGACACACACTTTTTCACACACTGGTCACACTGCTGTGATGTTTTCCAGCCGGCGAGATGTGACCAAAGGGTGTGAGACAGATAGATAGGTAATGAGACAGCGAGACAGAGGTGACGCATTCACACATAAGGGGTAATGAATAACAATCCAATTAACAATTAACCCAAAAAACAACTCGCCTGCAGTCAGGCCATATGTTTTTGTCACCATATTAGTGTAAAGAGGTCAAGAAGAGAACTTCTTAAATAATGAAAGCGGTGTATAAAAGTGTCATAGCGGTTGATTTATGTGTGAGAGAATTGCAAATTGTTCTCAGCTCACACAGAGACATCATGTTAGAACACTCGGCCCTTTCATGTCTGTGGCACAAACTGCACATGTCACTCTGCCGAACACGAAAAGTGGAGGGATGATATTTATCCAGCCTACTCCACTCTGGCACACATGCGTTTTTAGCTATTTTTGCTGGCGACCAGTAATAACAGACAGAGAAAACAAAATACCATTGTTGGGTATGTATTCAAGGGAAAGACAGAAGAGGATGAAAGAATCTCAATTTTAGCAAAGACCATTTCAGCACTGTTTTAAGGCATATAAGCATTATTTTCACTGTCAAAATGATGGTTTTTGTTTGAGTTTTCATCTCGCCTTTAAAATTATTCTCAAGCGGTCCTAAAAGTGACCATTTGTCCAAAATCTAAATATTTATTGAAGTGCCACAGTTAAACAGGCCACTGAGTCAACAGACACTGAGGATGTACTTAAAGACAGAAATGCTTTGAGCTAAAACTTCCCATTATTACATGGTTACAGTGGGATGTTTAGCAGGTAATTGTTAGTTCTCCATCTTAGCATATCAGTATTCTTCAAAGAATTCCTGAAGTTATTGTTACATAAATATCTTCACATAGTTGAGTAAACATATTTCACTTAAAACAAATGTGCCTCCACAAATGTTAACCTCATCATGGGAGTAAGAGGAAAAAGCCAACTGAATACCAAAATTAGCTGGAGTGTGAAAGCAAAGCTGCTAATTTACCAGCCAGTCTGCATTCTTACCCTCACCTATTGCCACAAGCTGAGGGTAGTGACCCAAATAATATGCAAGCAGAAAAAATGAGCTTCCTTCGAAGAGTGTCCGGGCTTTCGCTTAAAAACAGGGTGAGGAACCAATCATGGCAAAGCTACTACACCAGCCAGATGAATGGATGGATGGATGAACAGGCTTGCAAGGCTTTTAAAGCTCATCAACTTTTATAATCTCACTGTAAACCCAAACGTTGAAAGTACTTAAATAAACTAAGTAATGTAAACATATTTTTACATTAGTTCGAGTACCTCAAAAAAGCTTAATTCATCTAACACTTTCTTTTATTTGAGTTAATTCAACTTATTATTTTGAATCAACTTCAACTATTTTGGATATTAGATACCTGCTACTTAAAAAAAATATAATTTAATTTTACTAAATTATTTAAATTATATGGCAGACATCTTACTCCTGGGGTTAATTTGATCCCAAACATACATGTTTAGTCGGTATATCAGCTGGGTTGATTGAGATTGATTTAGAATGTCCTTTTATCGGTTGCTCACAGGTTGTTGCACTAACATTATACACAAAGTTTAACAATATTTATCTATTTTTTGCTTTTATTTCTTTCTTTAAATATTTCATAGAAATGTTATAATATGTAAAAAAAACAAAACAATTTGACTTAAAAATAATGAATTTATTGAGGCATTTATCTGCAAGCTTTAAAAACAGTCAACAGACCTTTTTACTTAGATTTTTATTTTCTAAAATAGACTTCACTAGTGAGGTCATTTCCTGTCAAGTATAGGGGTCCATCCACTTGTCTGCAGTTGTTTGATTGGAAGACTCATTGAAAAGCAAGGAACACTGGCTGTAAGTGGCTCTGTATTAGTCACTGTTGACCTTTAACAGCATTGTTTGTATCACAGTAAGTACTTGAATTTTCTTTAGATTTCTCTCTTTTCTAAAGCATTTTAGTGAAATGTCAACAAATCTATTCTTTGCAGTGGCAGCTAGCTAACAGCTAATAAGCTAACCTAGCCACTTCACTAATTTAGCTGACTGAGTTTGCTACGGCAGCTGAGACAAACTGCTATTGTATACAGACATTATGACAAAGTCTTTCAAATTTAAGAGGATGAAGTTCATAAAGATTTCAGAACTGTTAAAAATGGGCAGGAGTATTTGTTAGGTAAGTGATGTGAGCTGTTTTAAAAAAAAAAAAAAAAAGACAAATTAACCTTTAGCGATATGACCATGTGGAAATGGCTGAGCTTTTTGAGAGGAAGATGTTGCTGCACCTCAGCCTTTTGAAAGTGAGAATTATTGTTTTTTTTTTTCTTTTTCAACAATGTCTAATATTTCTACAAACCAAATATGCTAGCCACACCACTAAATGTGTTCTCACTGTAGCATACATGCTGGCAGGCAAAATTTGGGGCATCTCTTGGATACTCCAAGATACCTCCATACAGGTATCTCTTACACTAGTATGGAGGAACTTGAACAAATAGCACTGTATGGAGAAGAGCCACAACTATCACTTCTTCATAGTTCAATTAATTTTAAACTGACTAAGTAGTTCTGCTGTATTGCACTTTTTTCCCCCCAATGCATGTGTACTCAGAGGTCCAACCTTCAAAGGAGTTCAAACAGAGTTTTGGTAAACCTAAAAAGTGACTCTGTTGTACTTCCTTTTAAGTTTTGTCAACTTATTCACATGGGAGACATAAATGAAAACTTTAAGTTCTAGTTCCCAAAAGGTTGATTCTGTTTATCTGGACGTGGCGTTTTTGGTGTGAGAAACATTTCGTCACTCATCAAAATGACTTCTTCAGTCTCAGCTGACTGCAGGTTTCCCCAATCTTATAAACAGCACATTACACAAAAACTAAAACTTGACTGAAACTAGCACCTAGCACCATTGAAAGAAACAATGGGCTGTGAGTCAGTTCCTTCATCATTAATATGCAAATTCTCATGACCATTGATCAACAACTACTGATCAAGGCCCATTGATCAAAGCAAATTGATCACTGATTAAGTTTTACTTACTAAATATTTCTGAATTTAATTATTATGACTTTTTTAAAACTTTTGTCAGAATATGCATATCAAATGTAGTCAAAATATTGTTGTTCTCATAATGTTCTGATAAGCTTCAACTTTTAAGTTCATAAACTTAAAAAGACTTACAACTATACAAGTTCTAATTTGTTCAGGTTTACAGCGCTGAACATAAGAATCGAGAATGATTTCAAGACTACATTCATGTCTAAATCTAAAAATGTATATTTCTTTTCAGAAATTATATTTTATTAATTTCTATCCAAACGTTTGTGCCAATTGTTCTGATAGATGTAAGCTGTTTCACATTCAATTTTGACTATTTCTGGAGAATCAACATTTTCCACAGCTGTTCTTTCTCACATACACAGCAGGGAATGTCTTCACACACATTTGCACTACTAAAAAATACTCCTTTAAGTTTAGATGAGGGAGGTGCATTGACACATTATTACCAGCAACTTGGCATCTCACAGATTTTGTACCGGAGATCTGATGGGTTAAAGAGAAGCTAATATCAAATGTGACTGCTTCAACATTTGCATACCTCAGTCAGGTGGCATCTAGAAAAGCTCAGGGCTGCAGTGCAATTTGTGAATATGAGTTTACAGGTATGTCAGTCTGGATCATTGTCGTACAATGACCATACCATTCATAGTGTGACTAACATTTTCGCCACTCTCTGAAGAATAAACTAATGGAAAGTACCATTTCTAAATAACTTTATCAATTTATTTTTATTTAACTCTCCAACGCACATGCCAGCACTGATAAATCAGCTTTTTCAGTTGTGCTCTAATTGTAATCCGTTGTGACCAACATGAGTTTAGCAGATCTGCCCTACGGAGAACCACATGACACACTAAAACCTCTTGATGTGGAGCCACTCCTGCCTTAGCGCTTCTCGAGTAGCGGGCCAAATTTCGACAGGTCTGAGAAGATTATAAGGTAGCACAGACATTTGGGTAATGTCTGTGGGAAGAAAATCAGATTGGACATCAACTTTACACCCAGCAACTTTGTGGCGCAACACCATGTTGTTAATTCTTTTAGTGGATAAGACAACAAAGTGATGATGGTTTCCTCCCAAATACTTCTGGGAACTGTGATAATCTAAATATCTTTTTCTTTTCTAATCCAAGAACCAAATATCACAGTTGGCAGATGGTCTCTGTAACATGAAACAACTGTCAACACTTTAATAGGTGTACTTATATCAAAGGTTGTAGTGGCTACCACCATAAATAAACACCATAAGGCTCATTCTATTTGTCTAGACGGAGCGTCCAGCATCAACTTTCTAGGATTTCCTTACCTGGATTACCTGGATGATTGAGCATGCATCAAGACACCTTAAATAAACACACCTAATCTGCTTCAAGTCCTACATTAACACACTCGCACATCAACACATTTCATCTACGTGTCGTGCAGGTCATCGAGGAAAGTCCCTGGGATGAATCCCCATGTCTAATGAGCTTCAACATGTTGCTGCTTACCATGATAAGAGGGCTTAGTTTAAATGCAGATTCTCCCCCGACTGGTCCTCCTCCCTCTCACATTTAACATGTGGTTACAAATCTAGTTAATTTACTTGGCACCACCTGGTGGGTGAAAGGAGTCAGTGTTTCCCATTTCCCCTGAAGTCTTTCCCTTCCTCTGACAAAGTACAGTGAAAGACGCTAAATGTTGAGAATGAACCTGCAGTGAATGTCCTTCTGAAAGGCCTGCAGCTTTTATCAAAAGGACGTTACATTTATTTTAAGATCTTCAGATACAAAGGGTTTCCAATTAACCAGATACCTAAAACTGTCTAAAACAACTAATGCACAGACATAAGCCTCTCCAGCAGTATTAGTGCTAGTCTAAACTCTTTTTCACAGAATTAAAGACTCTGGTTTCTACCTGGATTAAAATTCTTGTTATAAAATTCAAATGATCACAAAATAATCTTTTCATTTTCTATTTTGAATTCTTCACTGCCAGCAATTCTCTTACAGGCTGGATTCCTGCATGTGTTGTTTACATAGCACAGGTTCAATATTAACCATAAACGGGCAACTTTTTGATATTACAACTGAAGCGATCATACAAGGTGTTTTTTTTTTGTTTTTTTTTAAAGAAATGCAGACTTGTAAACATGTCCAGCTTTTTAAAATGAGTTTCTGGCATTTATTTTTATTTTCTTTTTACACTGCATCTCAGTTTTCCTGGAAACGTGACCGTCCAGCACACACATCTCTGCTAGTGAGTGGGTGTGCATTTTGCAGGTGTGTGAAAGGCACCGATGGTACTATTCTGTGCCAGGAAATACCAGAATAAATACTGCCTCTAAGTTAAACAAACTGTCACCTTTGACCCAGAATCTCTGTCCAGCTCATCCTCTGCGTTGCTTTGCTCTGGGGCTTCATGGATCTGGATGGCAGGAGGTGGCCGTGGAGAGCGGTGCACAGGGTCTGCACCTTTTCGCTGGTCCTACAGGAGCACAGATATAGTGTCTGATAAACTTTGTGTGATCCTAATTTGTGAGCTGAGTGTTTACAGGCCAAACATTCAGCTGTGTCGAGTGTTGGTTAACAGCCAGAATTAGCATTTTGCTTGCTTTTTAGCGTCCTTCACCATCTGGTGTGGGCAGATAATGTTTACTTCAGTACCTGCTCAGACTAATCATGTGTGAAAATACTAAAAGCAGCATAGCATAAATGTAATTTTATTGCATCAACAAAATGGTTGGATGATGACTATGAGGTTACGGAGTATAATGTTTGTTGACAGTTGGTTGTATGTATTAAACAACGATGCCCTTTATGCAAAGACAGAAGGCCTTGGACATTGCTTATTTGCCAAAACAAAACAGCTTTTTATTCTCTCACACAGCGGCTCTGTCAGTAAATGCTGACACTTGCTAAGATTAGAGGGGCGAAAAAACCCGAAGCACTCGAACAGCAACGCCCTTGTTTAGAAATAAGTGTGTCACTAACATAAAGAGTAGCCACAGAGTACTGAGGCGAGAAATAAATTTGGCGATTTACACTTTAGCACCCAGTGTTGTAGCTTAACCACACCCTGTCTGTCCCACAGTTTTTCTGGCTTTCACAATGAGTAAAGAATAGTGAGTTGATTTCAAATTCACCTCTGCTGTGGCGTCAGCCTCTCCACATGACATTGGCACATCTTGTTCCTCCTTCTCATGATGAGTAGATGTCGGGGCATCTGTCACTTCCCACTGCACTGAGGTTGTTGTTGTTCTCGCTGGACTCAGATGTCTCTGTCGGTCTCCATCTGGCCTAAGATGCTTGGCCTCTCGCTCTTGCACCAAGTTCCTGTATTTCTTCTTGAGGATAAGATATTTCTCACCCTGTAAAAGACATTGAAACAGTACAACATCCATGTTAAATAAAGCAGGAAACAGTACTACCACACAGTCAGGTGAATTTTAGAAGCACTTGCTGTAGCTTCTAACTAAGAACCATTAGATACATTAAAGTAATTTGTGCGTTAATCACACTCATCAGTACGTCTTTAATCATTTTGCTGGACCTCACATCTTTAATGCCCTTTGAACCCAATTATTAAACCTCAAAAGCTGAGTTAGCTTCTTTGAATTACAGCTGAGGTGATCATCCAGCTGCTTGATTAACTGATCTAATCTAATTCCTCAGTGTGAGGATTTGCTGCTGTTCTCTGTCAGTATTGAAAATCATTGGATTTTGGACAGTTAGGCAGCTAGAAGATAAACACTTAAAGATACTAACCCCAGACACCGTTTACTGCTGAAGCAGATTAATTTACAACAATCCTTAGCTACAGCCTTACTATTTAAATAAATCTTTTTGGAATATTAAAGAATTTTTTGTAGCATCAACTAAAAAAACTTTGTCCAGGTTACATGAATCTAAGCACTGTAAAGTCTGTAAAGATTGGATCATATATTATGTAGGTTAGTAAAGTTTATGATGCCAAGATTCTGATGGGAAAATCAATAGTACTCTCACATCTATCTACAGCTGGCATCATTAGACGAAAAGTCCATAATAATTTCTTAGCAGGCCATTGTAGTGGTAAAATCACCAGCACAAATTACCATCATGAAATGCATGGCACTTAATTTCAGAAAGAGCAACAAGTCCATCAACAAATGATGTTGACGCAAAATATGCTTGTTCAGTGGCAACTAAAAGTTACTCATATATCGATAGCAATTAGCAATAGCAACAGAAAGCTTAGCAGTGCTAACATAAGGCAGCATTAGCCTTTATCGTGTGTTGGACCCATTGTTTTTAACAGCTGTGCTGTGAGGTAAAGAAGGCCTGAGGAAACCAGCCAGGCTGATGAAACAGGATTTTAAAATGTCACAATGACAATGCTTCTGAATTAATTAAAAAATATTTGCTGGGTACTTAATTAACATAAAAGGAGCACAAACAGGAAATCATAAACCTAACTTTGCATTTCAACCTACTATTATTATTAATACTTTATCAAGGTACTGCAATTTGTGCTTTACAGTTCATTCATTCCTTCATTCCTTTAAATTCTAAAGATATTATCAAAATATGCACATAATGTTTCTGTCCATCCAAAATATGAAAAAAATATATATATGCACATTATTTACAATCACAGTGGCCTAGGTGATCACTTTTTGACCTCTCAAAGCAAAACTCATTTAACAATTAGTGATTTTATACTACAGTGAAAAATGAGGACTGAATGATATAGATTTATAGACATATTATAAATTTTATTAAAATAAATGAACAAACATTTGATTACTGGCTATCTTTAGGACCACTACACATTGTTGTGCACAGTTGTTGGCTTATTCTTTGTTTAAAAAAAAATATATCAGAAGACGTGTGAGAAATATGGATCAAGAAAAGAAGGGGGCCCACAGAGGCTGTTATGTATAGGACCAGGAGTTATGAGACACATGCCTGTCTCTTAGCATGCTGTGATTCAAGTGATCTGAGAGGATGCAACACGCCAGCACTTCTTCCAATTTTCAGGATTTATAAAGTTTAACTGTTGTGAAGATTTTGGTCAAACCGTTTTTTGGATTGTTGTTTTTTGTTTTTTCAGAACAGATCCGGTCAGTACTGTACTATAAATATTTGTGTAGTTTAGAACAGACTGGGGGAGCTGCAGGAGGAGGGCTCATCTAGATTAGATCTAGTGCAGCTTTAAGTACAAAGTTAAACCCAGGACTAAATTAGTTTCTTTACAAAAAATTACAACCGTGCTCCATCAAAAGGCATGAAACTCCACAGTAAGCCATTAAATAACCTTTTACATCTAGTCTGTTTAAATATGATAAACATAAATGTAAAAACAACACATTGCTGGTTTACAGGGATTAGCATTTTGTATCTGCATTTGCCAAAAGAAACTGTTAGAGCACCAAAATTTGTTTTTAAACGTCTTCTTTTGCACATTTACACAGGTTTGATATTTTGTCATTTACTGAACTTTAAAGCTGCTGATAGGTGTTTCTTTTTAAAGAGTGATCAGCGAGCTAAGATAAGTCTCCAGACCTCCCTCTGTATCTTCACCTTTATCACACAGATAAGCGTGCTGTTCATTTCAAACTGTTTCTTCAAGAAAGAAACATCAAATCTATAACTCAGATGAGTTTACTCTGTTTATTCTTGCAGGAATTTTTAGTCTACATATGAGAACGCTTCATGGAAATAGTGTCTAGAAACACAAACTGCAGCTGTGTCCCCTGGGGGAAACCAGTGGGTACAAACGGTTCTACAAAACACAAAGATTGAACAGATTGGACAACCTCTTGTTCAGTCACGATGGTTCCGCTGAGCCTTTCACAGCATGGCCTCTGTGTAAGACGTATGACTGGAAAATCAATGAGAGCATAGCTTTTCCCAGAAAAGGTAAAAATATTTGAGTAGTTTACTTACATTCTCAGACTTCACCACAGCGATTCGGTCAATGATTAGCTTGAATTCCTCTCGGTATTTGGCTGCAAAAGAAAAAATATTTGAGTTCAAAAACAGGAAACTAAATATAGTTTCTAATGTTTTTTTTTAAAACATTAAGTGGTACATGAGTGCTTCCAATACTCAAAAAGTCAAATAAGGATGGAAAAAAGGACACAAAACACTGTTGTAGTGATGTGGATGCTGGACGTAAGACAATAAGAAGAATGTGTTTTGCGTACATAGACCTTAAGATACCCAAAGATGCACAATAGATAATATTTATTAAACAGCACAATAACGGAGCTGAATATATTTCTAGTGTTTATACTAGATGTGTTGTTTGTGAGTCTGCCGGTAAAGCTGTTGGGTTCTGTTACTTTATCTGAAGTAACAAGACAAATGAGGTTTGGATGAGAACACTACTGGCAGAGCAGATGTTTTACAATCTTCAGTTTAAAGAAAGAGAAAATACGTTCCCCTCCAGCCAAATATGTAAACAGAATTTAACTTATCCCTTAGGCTAAAAACTCGAGTCACTTGAAAACCTACAGTGAATCTTTCCTGTGAGAACCAAACAAAGTGACGAGCTGATCAGATAAAGCTTCCTGCCCTTTGTTTACACCAGTGAGCAGATATCAGGCTTGTGCAGAAAGTGTGATTAAAAGCTAACACTAATCATCAGGCAGCCAGGACGGCTTCGCAAACATAAACCTTTCCAGACGTAGGTATTCCATTCACGCCAAGGTGTTTACGTGAGTATGCGGCTCGGGACAATTGGAGCGTTTCCTTTTCCTCATGTGGACGGAAAGAACATTTGTAGGGAGACAGTTGCAAAGTTCGCATTCGCAACAACAGGAAATCCAAAGGAAGTGGCCACTTACATCTGCCTAAACAAAAGAATTCCTTGCATGGCACAGTGGGTAATATCGTGTATGTGCTAGTTACTTGTTAGCCAGAGGTCTGCAAAAAACAAGCAACCCACGCACAAACTCACTTTCATGTACCCCCCTCCCCTCAAACACTGCTACACTTTTACCAGCTGCCCCAGATTTGTTGTCTGATTTAAAAAAAACGCACAAAAACGCCCCCATTAGAGGTCTACATCCAGTCATGCATGTGGACTTAATTATGATTAAAACACTATCGCCACAATTACACGAGGAAAAGCTGCAACCGCATGCCACGACAGACTTTAAATGTGTGGGAAGCACTTTTCTAATTGGACAGCGATGTCAGATGGCAGAGCATCAAAGCAGCTCTCTAAACCTCTGTCAACAACTGCAGTGCTGATGCAGCATCTGGACAGTGCATGCTGGCAACTGCAATACAAGGTCACTCTGGATAATCATTTGAGAAGGTTAAAATATGTTTGCATTTCCAGGCAGTCACAAAAGTAAAATCACCGCTGAACAGGGACTAGATACAGCATTACAAGCTCATTGTTTGCCTTCGTGAGACGTGCTCTTACTCGCAGCTGTTAGTTTAGCAGGCACACCTACACAAAAGAGATGTGCTGCACAGCTTTTGAAAAGATCAAATAAAAACAAATAATCCTCCTGTTAGAGAAAAGAGAAAATATATTCATAAACCTTAACGTGCTATTAAGTTGATACACCGTGCTGCAGCTTCATGTGGTCTGATATAACCACTAACTTCAAGTGGTTTCAAGTGACACCTTTAACTATGTTTATGTCACCAAACCAGTTTGATGTGCACGTTTAGTTCGGGTGCTGCCACTCTATGACACAGACGCCTGTTATTGTTTAGTTCATAACTCCCTGAGCTGTTAAATCTTTGCTTTATCTGTTTGCACAATACACAAAAACGGTATGAGATGTTGCTTCTGCTTTAAATACCCGCTGGTATGTATTTCAGTTAGTCACACCTACATAGAGTTCTGTTTCTTTTGTCTGTGACTTTTGTGTGTAGTCTAACAATAATTAAGCCAATCATATTTGCCAAGAGATCTTCCAGAGGCCGCTTTAGCAAGCCATTCTCCAGAGGCCCATATGTTAAAATGCCACAATTTACTGCTGAAATAAACATGTTTACAGTCTTGAACAAAAGTGGTATTGTTATTTATAGCTAATTTTCCTCTTCATGACCACTGTACAGGGAGTGAAATCTTCTATAATGCAGCCATATGATTCTAACAATAAGAAATCTGAAGAAAAGAATGAAAATCCATCTTTCCATTTTCTTTTCCTTCTGCTAGAGTTGACTGTTAATTATCTGTCTCTGCCCAGTGATACCACACAGTCTATGGCAGCATGTTAATCAAGCCATTGTAAGGAACTGCTGGCCAATAAGTTCAAAGCTATGGGTATTTTGGGCGTGTCAACGAACACGAAGCTTAAAACCTGTAAGGTTTTGAAAGTGACTGCTTATGAATGTGCTTCTATGTAAAATTGTTTTTACGTAGGTAATTATCAATTGATTTTTCACTACGTAGCTATGCTGAGTGTAGTCAACCCTTTCAAAACTGCTCCAACTACGTCTTCATTCTCTATGGGTCATTGATGTCATTGGTTGAAGGTAACCCATGGCTGATAAAAATAGTTAGTTCATCCAGTCAATAAATATACCAATTAAATTATGGACCGATTATAGTCATAACCCACAGTCTACAAAACATGGATATGGATACAGGGTCTACAAAGGGAAGCCAATGCAGAAGCAGATTTTTAATGGTCAGTAGGAGGTGGCTCATCTGGCAGCAAGTGCACTTAAGGACATGGAAAAAATAAGTATAATAAAGGGTTTGAGGCTTCATAACACGATTGCACTACACAGTGGATGACTTCATGCTGGTTATGTCCATCTTTATATATAGGCTATCACCATACTAGACCAAACAAGGTAGTTAAAGCAAACCTTCTGTCTGCCAAAGGCATACGGTATATTTTAATACTTAAAGGTGTAACTTTTTCAAATAATTTGTAGCTAAAATGTTACCCTTTCTCTCTATAGTTCCGATGTCTTCTATGAAAGTGAGGTTATTTGTCAGAATGTTAGAATGTTGTTTTAGCTAAGCATATCTATGAGTACATAGAGTTACACAACTTTACTCCCAAACACTTTTTTTTTTCTGCAGAAACCCAATAACAGAAGAATCGTGGTGTCAGCAGTGACTCAGGACATGATTGCATAAGCATCTGTAGTAGGTGGGTGGGTGGAGAAGAACAGGAGAAAAAGTCTCTATGGCAAATACACTGATCCTGGGCTCAAATGGTGCATAAAAGCCAAGTAATAACTAGTTATAACCACTGGTCGTTTTCATTTCTGAGGAGGAGCCACGGGGCCTTCTTGTGACACTGCATAGTGACATGTTTTGTTGATGGGGTGGCTTGGGTCCTCTGTTTGAGTTAGAAACGTGCCCGAGGGAGGAAATGACACAATTCCTGCTGAAACTCATTGGAGGGGCTTTTTAATGTAAACCAGATGTCTCCTTTCCAACTGAAAACAATGAAAACGACCCCAAAGCCGTTTGTTAAAGCAGACAAAGGGGATGTTGCGTGTTTAAAACACAAACAAACCAAAAGATAAATGTTAGTCTTACTATGAGGACTGTCATACTAACACGAGGTCAGTTGGTATTTTGCCATCCCGCTCTAATGATGCGATGCAGCACGACCTCATCTCATTTCATCTGCCCGGTTTTTTTTTTTTCGCCTAATATTTCCACGGAGTTAAATCCACGATACAACCTCTGGTTACTTACCACGTAACTGCAAGTCACTGTGCCCAATAAAAGGCTTAAATGTCCTCAGTATATCTGCATTTTTGACTCTGCCTGAGTCGCCCCCGGCCGAGTAGAAATAATCCAGCAGCGACTCTTCGCTCACATCACTCATCTCAGCTCAGTGTTTGGAGCGTCTCTTACCGGCCAGGATGGGTTTTTTCTTAAGCGAGTAATCTAGTCTTTTAGGGGTTTTTCACTCTGCCACACCGCTCTCCTCCTGGCTAATTTGTTGTACTACATATCTAAAGTTCACTCCACCCAGGCGAGCTGACCGCTGCTGCGCCTCCTCCCCCCGTTAACCCTTTAAAGACACACGTCTTCATTTTCGTCCTCCGCGTTTTCTGTGCCAGCGGTGAAAAGGAAACATTCAGCTCCCACTGTTGGAGTGAAATAACTAATACTGGGCTCTAAGATACTTCATGACTAGTACAATTACTGTGCTGAAAAGCCAGTGTATGGGACTGTAATTAGGCGGATAGACGTTTTAAAAGTTAAAGTATTTAATGCAAAAATAGTCCCTTTCCACTGTTATGGTAACTTTAGAGTGCCGTTACTGATGCAGATATGTTTAAGCAGTGACTCCCTGCTGCATCTGCACGACATGCAGGACTGCCTGTGAGGACTGCAACGATTATTTCCATGACGTGCAGATTGGAGAGAAAGAAAGAATTATCGCGATGCTTTAAAAAAACAGTCAAATCTGTACACTGAATCAACAATATGTTGATTTAAAGTCTCATATGTGTAGTGTAAGGTAACAATCTTATAACACATCCTCAAAAATAGATTGTGACCTTTCACAATAAGTGTCTGCTTCAGGACCCTTAATGCTTTTCAGTTGTTTGTGAGTGTTTAGTAGTAGAAACTATCCGAGATGTTTCATTTAACTAGCTCACAGGGTCCAAAAAGTTGGAAATCCATGATATGTTCAAGAATGCTGGGATAAGAGACGTTTTAAAGAGATGGTTTGTGCTGCAGAATTTAGTTTTTCTTTGTTTCTTCATGAATAATCTCACAATAAAAGAAGTAATATACTTCATTTGCTATCTAATAATGAAAAGCATGAAGATATAAGTCAAAAGGGCCATACTCATACTATCTCCAGTGCAGGACTTTTACTTGAAACTGAGCATTTTGCATTTGTAGTACTTTACGTACGTGAAGGATTTGTGTACTTCTTACACTACTGCTATGTTGACCACATAATCCCAGACAGTAGCAAGGTGATAAATGTATCGCCAGCTATTCTCTGTTGGCATAAAATAATTCCCCAAAGATGTGGCATATGCTCTGGGATCAAATTTCTTTATCCTCATCAAACTTGTGTTGTTTTCTAAATTGAAAGAGCATAAGGTCCCACTTTCACGCAACAGAATAAACTCCTCACCTCAATAATTGTATCAGCGTATAAGAAGCTTATTGTAATTACAATATTGTCTTCTTAGGGCAGCAGCCTAGAACATGAAATACAAATCACTCATTTCTAAATTGAATGGAAACCCGTTCAAAGCAAAGCAATACTAGAGGACAGAGGGATTAAAATGTAAGTCCGGTACATTTAATATTTACAGCACAATCACACAATTAATCTGACAATGTGTTCTGTGTTTAATACCTGAACCGACTGGTGTCCCATCTTTGTCAGTGGTGTGAGGGGGGGAGGATGGGAGCCACTATTTACTTGTGACCCAAATGCAACCCATCATGCAGATTTGGTACTTTAACCAATGACAACTGTTAGTTTTAAAAGCGGATTGGTTTTTATTTAGCTCCTCTGTGGTAAATGTGGTGTTGACACCTGAATATAAGTTAGGGCTTCTGACATATAAAAGCTCGTAAAAAAAGGTCAAGCCCTAGATGTTGGCAATTTATTTACCCACCTGCAAATGTTTTCAACCTAGACTCTTTTAATGAACAGTGGGGTGAATCAGACATTGGAGTAAAAGTGCTGAAGTTGATCATATTCCTTAGATTTTAAAGCAAAAATGAGAGATTAAATACTTTAAACAATATGCAAATATACTCAAGTAAAATGAAACTACCTTGAAGTTGTTCTGAAGTACTTCAGTAGAATATACATGGACTGAGTTCTCTTGACTGTGGAGTCTTTTTAAGCTACAGTCAAGTTCAAGAAACCAGTGTGAGATGATCTGAGGTTTATGACATGATGCTTCATCCTACTGGAAGCAGACAGCGGAAGATGGGTGCGGTTTGGTCATGAAGGGATGGACACGGTTAGCAACAAAACTCCGGTAGGCTGTAGCATTAACCAATAACTAGTTTATACAAAGGAGCCCAAAGTGCAAGGAAAATATCCTCCACATCATCACACCACCAGCACCAGTCTGAATCACTTCTGATCAACCACCACCCGATCATTGTCGCAGCATAAATGTAAAATCATCACATAAGGCAACATTTTCCTATGTTTTTTTCCCCAAACGTACATTTTGGTGAGCTTGTGTGAAATGTAGCCTCAGTTTGCATTCTTAGCTGACTGCAGTGGCTCGTATGGTCTTCTGCTGGGCATCCTCTGCATAGCTTTGTTGTAACAAGCAGTTACAACAAAACTTACTATATGGCTTTTTTTTTTATTATGCTTGTCTTTCAAATAAACTCATGTGTTCTCCTGTAATCTAACACTGAGCGTTTATAGTGGCAGAAAATTATTAACTGACTCATTCCTCATAGATCATTTATTATTTAACCTCCTGCAACAATTCCAGGACGTCCAGAGTCAGGTGGGTTATCATAAAGAAGTTCATGGTGACATTAGTATAAAAAGATTACCTCCAGGCATTGAAAAAAAGGAGCGAGACTGTTTTGGGTTTTTTTGTTTTAATTATGAGAACAGTAGAATATGACTTTAAAAAAAGGTAATGTTTTTAATAATGCTCTCCCAAGTTCTTCAAACAATTTTTCAAAAGAATGCTGCCGTCAGCCCTATTCTTTCTGCACCTTTTCCTATCAGATTTTTCCTTTCTATTGAAATGCTTTGATTCAGCATTCTGCCAACAGCCAGCCTTTTTATCAGTGACCTTGTGTGGGTTACAGGCCTTGTGGAGGATGATGATCACGATCATCACCTGAATAACTGTCACCCTTCCCTTTGTGGTTGCATGTGCTGAACTAGTCTGAATTAAACAGTGTATTTATAATGTCTGAATAATAATGTATACAAACATGCAACTTTTATCCAGCGCTGGATAAAGACCAGTATTCATAAATATTATAGTAACACTGTCTCCTTCTCTCTGGGTTTTACACAGCTGTGACTGTTAGCTAGCTAATGAGCTAAAGTCAGCGAGATAGATAACTGGGAAAAGTGAAAACTTCATGGTTCATGCTTCAAGGTATAGACAGGAAGAAATCATTCTGGGACTCTAATAAGTTCTTTACAAAACAGCAACACGTTAACCCCTACTGTTGAAGTTCCTGTAGGAACTGAACAACTCTAAATTCAAGGAAAAGCTGAATTTGTTTTCTTTAAAGCTCAGATGGAACTTGATGGCCTGAACATTCTGACTGCATTGTGGACTTTGTCATGCTGGTACATGGAGAGAGGCACTGAGAACATGTGTGTGCACACACAGCATGTCTCTTCATGCTTGCTCTTCCCCTAGCCCAGTGGTTCCCAAACTTTTTTTTGCTAGGCCCCCCTTTGTTTTACAAGAAAAATGTTCGCACACACACACACACGCACGCACGCACACACAAATGGCTCTGCGCCCCCCCCTAGGCGGGCCCCACACTTTGGGAAGCTCTGCCCTAGCCTCTTGTGTCACTTAGTTTTGCCTTATTATCGTCTTATTTGTTGAAATTCTTGAAAGGTAGAGTCTGTGAGCACAAGCAGAGATTTTTGCTTGAAAAGTAACTGTGGCCTCTTTTTCAAAGGCTTCTCTAATAATTAACGGTCGTGAAATATGTCAAACGTTTCTTCTCATCTTCACTTAGCTGCTGTTTACAGTTTAAAGTTGTCATCAGGACAAACACTTCTAATTATACTTTGCTCCTCATTTTCTTTAAAAGCAAGAGAAGACAGAACAGATCGAGTAAATTTTTAAGTTTGGTATAGTAATCTGTCTTGATCTATTTTTATTTGAATGTTTTATTCTGTGTTTTATTTGTTTCTTATATGGGAGAAAGTCTTGCCAGCCTTGTGCTGAGGGCTGTGGTCATCCATCTGTTTTGCTCCAATAAACCCAAATTTCAGGGATACCTTCTTTAGATCTTATTCATATAACATTACTTAACAGTAAATAAATCTTGTTGAAGTCACTTTATATGGTAGGATAAAGACCCTACAGTGTTAATCTAGGTCAAATGTTCACTTGGATTCACTGATGAAGTAAATGCAATTTGGTAATCAAAGGTGAGTTGACTATATATGTATACTCTGTCATGGTTGGACAAACAAGGATGCAAACCACAACTTAACTGTTTGGCTGAGACAAAACAACAACAAGGCAGTGATCATAGCTTAAATGTACTCAGGATATTGTTAAATATGCAAATATTGTTAAATATTGTTACATTTTCTGTCAGTCTTTGCCAGGTATCCTGTTTGAAGAAAACACTTTGGAGCCACTTGAATTCATGTTTATGAACATATTTGAAACTGATTTCAAGGAAGATAAAAATGCTAAGATTTTAAAGATTGCAAGTTACTTTGTTCATATATTGGCTGTTTGATCATTTTATGATGAGATGGATTGTGTCATTATATTTAAGTATAGTTTTTGAGGTGATGAGAGTAAAAGGATATTTAACTGTAATATAGCAGTACTGTTATCTCAGATTAATTTAATTTTAAATTCAAGAATTTTCAAGTAAATCATGTTTTAATTATATAGAAATGTGTGGTTAAGGATATAAAGAAGTATTTTAAATGAGTTACAGTGAAAAGAAGTGTCTGTAAATGGTAATATAAACAGAATTTTCCATTTTTCTATTAACAGACATTTGTTATTAAAGGTAGTGAAAATATACTGTAAAATCTACAGAATTTTCCATTTTACCATTTACAGAATAGTCGTGAAGTTTTTCTAAAGATTTTTTTTTTACACAGTGTAATATGATGTGCCACTGGGACACATAGTGAGGGGAGTAAGCCAGAGCACTGTCAGGAGAAACCTGACATAACAAAGAGAAACCATATTTTTTTCAATATTGGCCTCTCTTCAATGGCTCCCTGTTAAATCCAGAATGAATCCAATTTAAAATCCTTCTCACATACAAGATCTTGAATAATCATGCTACAAATTTCAGGTACTATAAGGTCCTCAAGATCTCACGAGAGCACTTTGCGCTGAGACTGCTGGTTCACTTGTGGCTCTTTGGGTATTCAAAAGTACAATAGCAGGTCGACCCTTCAGCTTTCAGGCCTCTCTTCTGTGGAACCAGATTCCAGTTTAGATTGGAGAGTCGCCTTTTCTGTTTTAATTTTTTTTTTTTATAAGTTTAAAACTTTCCTTTTAAATAAAACGTATAATTGGGGCAGGATCAGGTGACCCTGAACCCTCCTGTAGTTACACCGCAATACACCTAGGCTGCTGTGGTCTTCCCATGATGCTCTGTTTCTTCCTCACTAACCTCTTTTCTGTTTTTGTGTGTTAATATAGCATCTTGTTGTTATTATTAATCTCTGGCTCTCTTCCACAGTGCAGCTTTTGTCCTGTCTTCCTTCTCTCACCCCCAACCGATTGTTTCCCCTTCATGAGCTTGGTTGTGCTCGCACTGTTGACAAACTAGTGGAGGAAAGTATTTTATGGTGGATAAATTCTATAAAATTCTATTAAACAATAGTTGAATTGTTTAATTAATTGTGATTTGTAAGCATTTATAAAGTTAGTTTGTTAGATCATTGTTCCACAGAGTGGACCTCATGCAGCCCCTATTTTATAGCAAGGAGTTTTACAGATAACATATGGACATGCTTGTTGCTATTTGTCTACTTAATGCGGTTTCCAGGGCTCCGTGAGAGCAGAAAAGGACCAGATGTTCCTTTGCACCATCTGAAGGTCACCGGCATCAGTCTAGTGGCGTTGGTTGTGATCGAGGGCAGATGTTCCCAGGGTTATCCATTCCATATGGCTGCCACTCGTCCACTGGCCTTTTCACAGCACAGCGCTTGTAAACACGCTTCAGTTTGCTGTTCTCTTTTTTTCTGACCCTGTAAAACATGTCCTAAATCCAATCACCTAGTCCCTTTAGAGGGGATGATGTTGATGAATGGAAATGTGTAGTGGTAGTAGTGACCTATAAGCCCCTATTGAGATTACAGGCAGGCAAGCAGCCAGCCAGCCAGGCCTGGTCAGACCACTGGGAAACGGCTAGAGCTTAAAGAGGGATTGTTTAGATAGACAATAGTGTCTACCTGGTTTTAATCCCCGCTCAGAAAGAGTACAGAGGATTGGCAGAGTTTAATAAATGAAAGTGCTCCTATAATCAGGATTTGCCAAAGTGCCCCTTTGTGTTAATCGGACATTTTTTACAGCATGGTTTTTGACATCTGCCATAGCGAGTGGTGTTAACCCTCTGCTGCCCCAGCTGTACGCAGCACATTTGCACCAGACTTCATGCAGAGAAAAGCAAAAAGGGAGAAGTAAGTAAAGTTACACCGTTTAGTGTTCATGCACATTTCTGTTCTGTTCTGTACTTTAAGAGATGGTACAGAAATGTTTCTTCATAGCATCTTTATTCAGCAGTTGTTGTTAAAAAAGCCTAACGCGGGTGTGTTGCAGCGTCCCTTTTTTACCTTATAACTTGTTCATATTTTATAGTGTGTCATAATGTACTTGCATATACTCTATAGGTTTTAGCCAGATTGCAGCCATCATGGCACAACCTCATTACTTACTTAGCAGAGGCTAATAGAACGGGGATGTGTAATTACTTCAGAGCTAAAATAGAAAGCTGCATTTTATTTAATTAAAGTTGAGCGCATCAGCAGTAAAGCATAATAAAATTGTTTTAAAATCAAGGATTACAACAGTAAATCCCAATGGGCCAGATGTGAGAATGGGAGGGGCTGCTGCATTCTGGGACCAGATTAAACAGAAAATCCCACAGGGCCGCACTGTCTTTTTCCTGCAGCTTAGGGGCTTGTGTGGATTCAACATGCTGTAATCCACCGATTAGCTGATATAATCACCTGTAAATACACCTTGGTCGGGACGTTACTCTCGGCCATTAGGCTCTGGTCTAATGCTCCACATGTTCGTCGGACCGTTTACTGTTGAGACGGGTCGGATTTCACCTCATCTGAACTTTCTGGGAATTTGAAGCAGACGGTCGGCCCAGACAGACAGCTGTACTGACTGTGTGATCCAAATGAGTTCTCAGAAACTTAACTGGAAAATATAAATGCTCTTTGAATCCAAATTAAACCCAAACTAAGTAGAATATAAGTGGTTTGAAGCAGCATTGTAATTCTACTTTGTCTATTTGCTCAAAGCACATTTCAACACTGCATGCTAATACTTATAATTACAATAAACGTTAACATTTTACATTCAAAACTAGTTCAATATTTGTGCTTTGCCATTATATTTATGGTACTAAACCAAAGCGGAAGTTACAGGTGAAAAGGTAACACTTACACAAACTTCAGAGAAAAGTAATTCACGCACTGCACTGTATATATTTAAGTTCTTACTTAATCTAAATATGCCAATACATCGTCTGCCACTGCTCTGCTGATCAAATAAGTTGATCTAATGAATTGCTGCCACACATGGTCAGGTCGGTCTGGTTTAATTTGCCCCTCAATGTTCTTTCGCCACCTGCTGTCTGTGCACGGTTAAGAACACAAGAGACGGGAACAGTCTGACCAGTTCATGTTGTTTTAATGCCATGCCGTTCAGATTCAGCCTCTCTCCTCAAATCACTCCATTACATTGGATTAAACCATTAAAAAGAGGGATTGTATCTGTATTTGAGCCTGTGTTGAATTATTATTTTGTAAGACACTTTATAGTCATTACTGAAAAAGGAAACACATTATTTTGGTTCATAGCACATTAATGCCTGGCAAGGAAAAAAAAAAATATTAAGACTAAATTGACCCAAAAAAAGAGAAATCACAAAACACAGAAGCAAACAATATAAACAATATCTTATATATAAAACAAATGAGTCATAATAAATATTACATAAACACACAAAAAACTAAACACTTAACTTATTTGGTTTGGGCAACATTTTGAGTAAAGTCCGTAATTACTGATCTGAAAAGCCAAACATCAGTGTGAATGTTACGTTTACTGTTTTCTTCTTCCCCTTAAATCTCCCAGAGAACACCATTCATCTAAAATGAGAGTCACCACCCCAAACTTTTTATTTAGCCTCCTTTCTAGCAAGAAACACAATCACGTGTGCACTCCTTTTGTTTTTCCTATAAATCAGTTCCTGTGTGTGCTTGCAAGCCATCCAAGCCTTTATATAGTGCAGAAAATTCCACAAAACAGCTTTAGTCACCCATGTTCTGTCTATTTTTTAGGAATATCTTCTCACTAGTTCAACCTATAATCAAATAAAGAAGAATCAAGTCTTTATGAGCTGATATGCGATTGGCTGCTTTGGACTTGCTTTGCCTTTTTGCACTTTTATTTATTTAATAATTTTTTTTTGCTGGGAATCTACCAGCTCTACAAGTCTTCCATCTTTGTGTTTGTAATAGAACGGGAGCAATTTTGGTTCAGTCAGGATTGGACTCATAAGTCAAATGTAGACATTCATTCACAGTCACACACAGATGTCTTTACAGCAAACACGTACAAATAAAAATTCATTGTGACTGTAAATGTAAATTCACTCATTAGTGATTCTTCTACTTAACAAAGATAACTGTGCAATTTTTTTTAAACTTTTCTGAAGCAAACCAGGACTAGTACAAGTATCAGGAGCTCGTCTTAGGCGCCGTTTTTTTATTCAGCCACGTGTAGAGAAGATTTTCAAGATTTAGTGTTCCCTCTTTTCACCTCAGGAGAAGGGAGAAGTGCAGGACTCTGCTCCACCTTTTCTCTGGTGTGGAGTGCAGTAATGAGGTCTTAAGGCCTCCGCCGGGATGCCTCCTGTCTGTAGGGGCTCCTTACGTACTCCGCCCAAAGTCCAACTTAAGGTTCCAGCCCCCATTAATGCTACTTCCATTGCAAAGTGCAAGCAGTTAATATCTCTCTGCCCCTCCCTCCCATTTGAGTAATTTGGAAACCAACGCAACAGCAAAATCAAAAACACAAATGGATTGCTATTGTTGTGATGTTAAAAAAAAAGGGACAGTCATTGTCCAAAAAGCAACAGGAAGGGAGAGGGCAGGAAGAGAGCGAGTGCATTTGTGTGTTCAGTCCATCCTCATAAAATAGGGATTCTTCCTTGTAATGTCCATATGCCACCAGTCAGCATTTGGAAGAGCTGTTATACCTCCCTGTGGGGAGAAAGGATAACATTAATACACACATACCTTTCAGGAAAAGTACCTAAAACAAAATTTAGGAGCATTTCCTCACTTCCTTCTTTGAGATCAAAAACACTCCTGTATGTATAATAAATATGCAGCTGAAAACAGAAGGGCACAAGGAGCCTGGCTCTGTGAGACTATCAGTATCCACCCGCAATACATGTATAAGCTGAAGTTTCTTCTCAAACTATCAGATTATTTCTTATATAATAGAAGTAATGACTTACGATGCTGTCAGTGTGGAGTTCAGGACAAGAGTGGTGCGTATCCTGTACAGCTGAGCCAGCGTCAGCTTCTTGTGTTGGCCTGGAGATTTTCTCTTTTTGGGCGATGCCTCCCCTGAGTTACCGGCCGCTGCTGACTTGGCTTTCTTATCTAAGCAGGCAGAAGGAGTCACTTCCCCATCTGAGCTGTTGCTCTGAGAATCGTTATCCTCGCATTGTCCGTCGGGCGCCCCGTGGCCATGCCTGGCTTCCGCCCTCCTCAGGGTGGCACTGAGTTTGTCAGAGGGCAAGCTAATGCTCAAGCAATCGTCAGACTGGTCGAGGTCAGTGGAAAATAACTCCTTGTTTTCCACTGACGAGTTCTGGTCCAGCTCGGACATGCTCTTACTGTGCGACAGCTTTGACGTGTCCATGTCTCCGCACAGCGATTGGTCCTGCGTCTCAGAGCTGAGGGAGTGTGTGTGGGAGATGGGGTGGTTACCGTGAAAGTGTTGCAGGAGGTTGTCTTCGGAGCGGGATAGAGCCAGAGAGGACAACCCCAGGAGGCAATGGAGTCGGGGGTGTACATGAGGCCGCCGACGAGGTTTAGAGGACTGGACAACTGACACCTGAGACCCTAATGAAGCATCCTCCTCTTCTTCTTCTTCCTCTTCTTCATCCACTTCTTCTAATTCTGTCTCTTCGTGCTCTGGCTCCTGACTCTCCCTGTCTCCCTCTTCCTCCTCAGTCTCCTCGCCTTCACTTTGGCCAGGCTGTGGCTGCAGTTCTCTTAGGAGGGATTCAGGGGAGAGGGTACCGTAGGCGCTGTCCATGGAAAGAGAGCGGCACTGGGGGTCCAGGTCCTCACTGTCTGGTCCCGTGCCCTGATTGTGCTCAGTGTAGATGGCGGAGTGGACTCTGAGTGGATTTGACAACTTCTGACCCACAGACCTGTCAGAAAGGGAACCCACAGCACTATCCAAGTCTTTATTAGCGCTTTCCTGGAGGTTCATGTTGGAAGCAGGAATTGCTGAGTGCTCGCCGGGCTCATCGACATCCATCACTGATAGGGTCTCAGTGGAACCGTCTGATTGACTGAAAGGAGAGTTTTGGTTGAATGTTAGACTTAAAAAGCTCACCAGAAAGAGTGTAAGGAAAACATCAGAGAGTTCTATTTGTGTTACAAAAGTGCAGCAGATTTTATTCTTTACACTTCAGTACCTTGAGTTTTGCTGATCCTTGTGACTCAGCAAAGGGGAACTTGTAGTGGAGTTGCTGCTCTCATCTTCCTCCTCCTCTTCTCCATCCCCCATACATCTCTTCTGACTGTCCTGCTGGCGGAGGAACTCCTCAGTGCGAAGCCTTTGGAGCTGGTTCTAAATTGAAAAGCACCATTTACATTAAATATGTAAATGACTGTAAAAATTAGTGCTTCTAAAGTAAAAAACAAAAACAAACAAAACACATAAAAATCTCATATCTGGATGCTGTCCGATATTTTTTCTATAATAAAACATTGCTATCCTACCTGGACATTGCAGATTGCATCTATCCAACTTCGCCCCTGGGTGGCGCTGTTGGCTTGGAAAGTGTATGCTGCCACTGCACTCTTGAATTCATTGAGGTAGATGAGGATGAAAGAGCCTGTAGGAGACATAAAACGTGAAAAATTTAGTACTCTGTGGATTGAAAAGTCCCCTATATAATTAAATAGCTTCTCAAAAGGTGAGAATTTCCTGGATTTTCTGCTTTATTAAAACAACAAATATATATTATTCAGGAGTTAGTCAGTATTTGAGCACTCACCTGGGTCTTTGAGTTCCTTACAGATGACGTTGTGAATAAGGAGAGGCTGACGGATAATTTTGACTTTCTCCACTCTTTTCACCGGCTTAGTAATTAGCAGCAGGTCGGTGAACAGAAAACAATAGACCTCCATCTGTGGGGACAGTAAACTCATTTCAGTTATGGTAACTCTTGTAATGTTTTACACATCTGCAGTTTTTGTGAGATTTTACGTAACCGCAAAGGAAACATGAGAATCCACGTGTAATCTGAATATAAAGATAAGAGCTCATCGTGTGTTTCCAAGCAGTCATGCGAGTCAATCTTACCCTACTGTCTTTGCCCTCCTTCATCCTCAGCGCGCCCTCGAGATGCAGCTGTCGAGTCTCTTCCGGAGATACATCTCTCATGGGAGCCATGAGGTCAAAGTGGTTGTACTCCTTGAGGATCTGAGGGGGAAAAGATAAAGGCATGAAGCAGAGTTTGACATGAAGTCTAATTTTAGGGCACTGGGGTATTGTAAAGTGTTTCTTACCTTCTCCACTTCTTCACTGCTCCCCTCTACAGCCTCATAGCAGTCTATACGGGCAGAGATGGTGGCGAGCTTCTGTTGTTCTTGACGCTGTCGCATCTGGGAGTCTACGCTGTTGATAAAGCCCTCTACTGTGGCAACCTTTAAGGATAAAACAATAACAAACGTACATTTGCATTCAGACCTCAGGCAGGGTGACAAGCAGTCAAAGCATATACTTTAGTGTAAATGAGAAAAACAGCACTTTCTAAATGTTTTCCAAGTTCTTACCATGCTGCTGACAATGTCACGGGTTGCTGGTTCATCTGTCTTCTTGAGAAGAATCTTCAGTAGGAGCGGGTATTTGGTCAGTCTCTGGTGAGGCTTTGCCAACATGTCGGCCAGCTTCAGACGGTTACACTTCTTATTGGTCTCTGCCCACTGAATTGAGTCAGACAAAAGCAGGAAGTCAGGCATCAGAAATGAGGAGAAAAGCCAAGGATGAGTTTTTGGGCATAAAGAGCATCTGGGATTATCGTAATGGTAAGAGAAACCTTACCGTGACGTAGGTCCTGAAGAGCTCATTGTCCCTGAGAAGCGTGCGCATGTACTCCATGCAACCCTCCTCCTCCATGCAATAACGGATGTAGGGCTTGAACATGGTGCCAAACTGAACCCACACACAGAAACAAAGACATGCGTCATATTTACTTCTGTCATCAGGAAAACAAAGACGTACTAGCTGCTAATTCACGTTTCTTATCCTATTTATGCTTAAAAATTGTGAAACAGCAAGGTTTTATGTTTACTGGCATCCAGTGCAGTGTACCTTTAACCCAACTAATCAGGTGAATTGATAAAACACCTAAACCTTTATATGAGTCATAGTTACATAATCAGTCACACTTTTATATTGAACATGTAGTTACATGGTAATTACATTATTTATTAAATATAAAACCCTGGATTTTTTGACTTTGGAAAGATGCACTCAATGCTTTAAACCAAGATAAAGTTTCTATACTATTTAAATTAACTAGATGTCTTTCTTTTTTGTTGTCTGGGGGTGCATGCAGGGTTTGGATTCTCTTTTGTTGCATCTGTGGAGTCTGAAACTAACCGTTCTGAAACCATGGTGAAGGTCAGTGGGGTCGAGCAGAGCCCGGGCTTGCCTAGCCTTCTTCAGGGCAGGCAGCATGACCTGGGTCCAAAGGGAGGTGTGGAGGCGGACGATCTCCTGAATATTGCTGAACAACTTGGCGGGTTCCACCTCCGTCAGCAGGCCGCTCTCCTGCAGGTTCAGCAGCCCACACAGGAACAACTGCAAGAAGGGAGACATAAAAAGCGCGTAAGCCCTGAATATTACGACAGTAATCTGATGTAAGGCACTGCAGTTACGTCTAAACTTAAACTCCTTGTTTATTAGACAGCGATATAGGCCCCACACTTTGTCAATGTCTAATGAAAAAGAGCTTCATTGTATGTCTTATCTTTTACACTACATAACCCCCTTCATCTTACACAGTATGCAATTTATATATGCGTGAACAGACAACAAAAGCATTCTTTGCACTTACATCAGTGATGACTCGGAGTTTCTTTATGTAGGTAGCCTCTGTGTGCAGCAGCTCCCATATTGCTTCCTGCTGGTGGAACTGGCGTCTTGTCAGTGTCTGCGCACACACAGATTTTATTCATAAACATACACAATATTTATACGTTCCTCTCAACTGTTACAATATTAGCGTAAACTTCCTTTAGATTAGACATTTTAATCGCACCTCATTCCCATGTCAGAGTTTGGAGTGCAACGATTACATCAGACATTTAAGCTAAATACTAAAACTCCCCAACAATATTTCCTCAGAAATTGTTTACATATACAAAAAAGTAAGAAATGAAAGGACTTAAAGGACAGTTCCAAGAACTTTTAGTTATTAATAAATGAACAATTAACTAAATGTTCACTTTCAAAACAAATCAAGTTACTGATTGCTTAGAATAAGGATAAGTGGTACAACATGGTGTGAGCCTAACAAACCATTTTTCCGCTTTACTCTTTAATTAAACACATCTTTATTATTTCTGCATACTTCCTTATGATTTCATGCTATAATGTAAATTGTATCCATACGTCAGTCGCGACGGTTGCTTATTGTCTTAAAAATTCCACAGGAAATCTGTCACCCAACGCAACAAAAACAACAGTTGTTTCCTTGTGATGTTCTCATATTTTTCCACCGTAACTCACATCACCAACATTATTGTGTTTCAGCAATCAAGACAGTAATGTGTTCGGTGTAACTAACCATCAGAAGTACATTTACAGTACAAAAGACAGCGTATGTGTTGAGCAATAACCGCTAGCCCTGCTGATTGATCGTGGACTCGTTAACTCGTTACCATGTGCAACAACTCGGCGACGGCATGAGATGTGCGGCACAGAAATTCAGTTCCTTGTGGTAACATAACAGCGAAGTGCATTATAACCAGTATTTCAGGAAAAGAGGCATCAGGTTGAGTGTAAGAATGATAGATATAAGGAAGTAAGAATTGTGCACACACCAGAAACCAGCATGCATGCAAGTAATGTCATGAATGAGAAAATTGTAATGCCAAACCATTCGTGGTTCAGCATTACACCACTGGAAGTTACAAATATCTGCATTGATTCTAGTAGGAAACTGATTTTTTTCCATTATGTCTGCGCATACACGACAAGACAAAAGTGGGTGTGTTTGTGTGGTTTGCTTATCTGCACTGTACCTCTGAGTTGTCCAGTAGCGTTTGCCAGCTGTCCTCTAGGGATAGGTCGATCTCCTCCTCCTCCTCCCAGGAGTCCTGGTGGAAGGAGAGCTGTCGTGGCACCTTTGGCAATCCAAACAATGAGTAGGTCTGGAGTTTGCTCTGGAGCTGCTCCAGTCGATCCACCTCCTGCGATCAGATAAAAAACAATTTCAAAAACAGATGTGACTATTTTGAACAGAAACATGAAGAGACGCAAAAGTAACTGTCCATTTGTGTGACTGTTTATTGTTACATTCAAACTGTAAGTAGAGAGGGGTCTGTGTATTATAAGCATACACAATCCCGTCCTTGCTGGCGCCTAGGCCGCTATTCAGGTCTTTGTTCAAGCTGGCAGGCCTTATGTAGTTATGAAAATGAGCTCCGTGCATTGAGACCATCTTAACAATAGGAGACGGGGAGTGGGGTGAGTGCTACAAAACAGTGGAAAGAAACGGAGCGGGAGGATTGTGCTTCTTGAAAACAGTCAACAAAAAGTCAGAAATGTATGGGGGGGGGGGAAAAAGATCCAAAGTTAGGACTTCTCGCTAAAGTTTGGTGTGAAAGCAGCTCAATGTTGTTTAACCCTACAATATGGAGGATGCCAAAGGTCCAGACCCAGGTGCAGGATCTCTGGCCCTGAGGGGATTTAAGGGGAACAAATAAATTGAAAAGGGATGGGCCCAGCAATGACAGGTGACTGACAGAAACTGTCTCCATTTGACATCTGCCACTGTTAAGGATGTGACCTCAGGGGATGAAATACAATGGAAGGCATGTTTGTGTGTGGGCGCGTGCCTGTCCTTCATTAGAATCAAAGTTGATTGAAAAAAAGAAAAAAAAAAATAGAATCAAAGTTGATTATCATTTTCAAAAACCTCCGATCCAGAAAGAGAAAGCCTTTGCTTAGGTTAACCTTGCGATCTTTAACGAGAGCTGAAAGGCAGACGGCGTTCCTTTTAAACAGAGCCAGGTTTACGCCTTCCCTATTTTCCATTCCTTATGATAAACTTGTTTATCAGCCATGTGATAAAAAGTTAAAAGTAGCAAATTTCCAGAAAGGATGGTGTTTTAAAAATCAAGATAAGAGTGGATAAAACTGAGTGCTAACAGAAGGCTTTTCCTCTACCTACTCATTTCCAGAGCTGCTGGGTGGAAAGTATGTGAGCCAACAAGTCAGGAGAACTTTGAAAGGAAATGACTTCACCAGGGCTCAAGGGGGATATGGCCTTCTGACCCCCTCCCACTGCTACTTGCTACTGTTCTGTTTGTTTTTTTAATGTTTTCTTAATCTCAGACATCGTCTGGGCAACAAGCCTGCCTCCTACAGCCCTTTATAGCCAAAAGAAAGTGCAGCACTTTCACTTGGAACAAGATTGCACTCGCTTCTGTGATCATGTGATCACAACCCTGTCGGCATTACCTTGCCAAAAGACCCCGCTCCAGCGTTGGAACTGAAGAAACCACTGAAGCGGCTGGCAGCACGGTTCTTCCAGCTGTCAGGCCCAGCCCCTACAGCAGGTAGAGAGCCACCGATCTGTCCCAGAGCATCTGGGGTTGGGATATTCGCCTCACCCAGAAACTCTGTTATGTTCTTCCTCCGTCGGGCCTGACCCTGCGAGACAGAGAGAACAGACAAAAATCAGTTACATGATAGACCGTAATAGGAGGGAAAACAGAAAATGAAAGGGAAAAAAAAGATCCAATGAGTGAATGAGGGGAATTATAACTGTTTCCAGCCAGACGCATCGAAAGAGACAATGACGAAATGATAGGACAAACAGGAAATCTGAAAGGGGAATTCTGAGCCAGGGATGACATCAACAGGACCGTTAAAACTATCCAAATGCCTGGACACAAACAGGAGAGGGAAGGACTGCCACTTCCTCGCTGTGTATGTTCACTGCATCACAAGGAGCAGGCGGGAGGTTGTTCCAAAAGAACAGACGGCCGAGTCTGGCCATTGTTCCCTGGCCATTGTTACCCTGTCAGCAGGCCCTGGCGTGCGCCCTCGCTCATGCAATCTCTGTACACTTTACGAGCAGCAGCAAAGCAAACAAACAGGGCCCACCTCAGTATCTGAGGAAGCAGTTGTTTTTGTCGTCGGAGTGTCAATGCTGAAGAATCTGCTGGTCAGGAGTCAGCAAGAGGCAGGACATCGACACCCCCCCACACTTCAAACACAGCAAAGGGAACTCACATTCCTGGACACTGACACCATTTCTGAAACTCGCCGTCCATTCCAGTGAAATTCTTTTACTCATCACCCCCCCAAGAAACACAAACAAGCCTACACAAACACAATGTGGTAAAAACACCAAGCTGCTGCACTGATGGATATCACAGATGCACTTTCCAATTCTTCTGGTCCAAAACTGTCAGACTCGTGAAATTTCGCAAAATAGTAAACAGCCAGTTTTAATTCATCACAGCCTAAAGTTTACTATTACAAATAACTGACATATAATTTGAGGACTATCAAATTTTAAAATGTACCACGGATTAAAGCAAACTAAGACTGCACTTGACTTTTACTTTAGGGGAAACTGCAGGAAACAAGAAGACTAGATAAAAAGCCTTGATTACTTGTAAAATGTAAACGGTTTTCAAGATAAAGTAATGATAACTGCCTGTCACCATAAACGTTTCTAGCATGTATATGTTACGCAATGGAATGTAAACTGAAGCTAAAAAATGAAAAACTCTGGCTGAAATGTTGCATTGTGAAGACTCATTTCAGGAGGGCCTTAATGGTACCACTCAACTACAATGAAGGTGCATAAGTGTCCTATACAGGGTTGCATAATGAGTAAGTAAATCTAAATTTTCAAGGGGCTTTTAGTCCTTTCATCTTTCAGGAGTTATTACCAAAGAGAGCAGTGACCTAACTGCAGAGTGACATCTTGGCTTTAAAACAAAAACTAAAGTGAAAGAGGGGAAAGGGACAAATTTGGAGGCGCTTTAGTTGAAAGGGAAACGAGCATGGAGCCATTTAGGGACTTTTTGTTGGTCCAACTGGTCAAGGACACAGGTGGTAGGAAGTGCCGAGTCCCCATGGTCAAACAGGGAAAATCTGAACCCTGTGCTACTGAGAGCGCACGACTGGTCAAACTGAAACCTGATTCATTTGTCTGACTTTGCTGTACGAGGCAATCAAAGAACAGGGTTTTATACATTTAAAGGAGGCTGTAATAATGGCAAAGAAAAGCAGCTAAAGTATTTCTACATATCAGATGGCATACATGTAGGAAACTTTGGATCAGAAATGAACACCGTGAACAGTTTAAAAACCTGTTTTTGAGGAAACCACTTTCATAAAGCCTCAAGGCCAGGAAGTTGTAATTATAACCACCAAGGGATAAATGCCATCAGCAGTTTCCCACCATATTAACAGTGCTCACCATTGAAGCCAGCGGCATGTCAAAAGTAACAAAAACCATCCTAATCCTTCAATTGGATTCATGGATCGCAGCCCATTCTGGAGCCAGCTGCTGCTCTCTGTCAACCTCTCGCCTCCTCTCTTTCCACTTCCACTGTGAAACACACATCCACGTCGTCCTCGCTGTTCAGTTCAGCCGATGCAAAGTCAGTCAAAGAAGTCGAGTGACAGCTACAACACTCCCACGTTATTTCATCATCAGAACTTGAACTTCAATAAGTCTGCAAACGCCTATTCCAGCTGACAGGATCCGGGTTACCCGCCGCGTCCTGCAGAGTCCGATCGCAGCTTCTCTTTGAGCCGGGACGTATCTGTGTCCTGCCCTGCTGTTCCGACAGTCAGCGGTGAACCTACTCACTGAGGCGCCCAGCCTGCTTGCATTTCACACACGCACTGGCCAGAAGTCATAGCAACCAGGAGGATCCTGCCTCATTGTGTTGGGCAGGAAAGAGGAGGCACCAGAGGAGGCTGATCTGAATATTAGGAGGTGGAGCTTTTGCGGCAGCTTTCAGGGAGCTCCCTGGTTTGAACAAGCATCCTGGTACTTGTGGTGATGCCAAATGGTCTTTAGTCTCAACAGGCTGCTCTGAAGTACAAATAAACTATCAACTCCCTGCTTGTGAATCAGGCACACTTTGGTTTTCTTTCCTCCCCCAAAGGATTCACCCCCCGATTAGCCCTGCTTGTAGTGCAAGCAAATTGCAGTTTGGATACTTCTTTTTTTACTCTTATTTGGACGCAAAGCCATTATTCTTTGCCATCTTTAATCGCTGTTTTGCTTTAGAGATCCTTAAACAATGCCAGGCAGCGGAGTCAAAACAAGGAAAGAAATTCCCCAATAATGACAAAAAGGGAAATCCCCTTTGTTTACTTGCTTGTTTCAGCACATTCAAAATGCTGCTTATGCCAAGCAGATAAGCTCGAGCGGGCGCACAGCTTCTCAAAAGGAAAAGGCTCAAAACTTTCTAGATAAAGTAGATTACGAGAGAATTAAGTCCAGATATTGTTGGGGTTGTGTGAGTTTACATTAGCTATTTTTTTGTCAGTATCTCAGATATTTGGGTTTTGGGCTAAAGATCAAACAAAAGTTGTAATTGGCACTTTGGCATACTGAATAAATCTAATCAGATTATTATAATTAGCATAACAATAGATCTTGACTACAAGAACTATACAGTTGGTAACAACTCTAAACATTACAGTCAAAGAAATTATATTTATCTTAGTAATTACACTGCCCATTAGTTCTTCAGTCAGACCAAATATAGATGAGTCACAATAATAAAACCAACTAACATAGGTCTTCTTGTTACAACGCCTGCAACACAATGTTTTTTCTGGATTACTTTGAATCCTGGCACACACAATGGTTTGATGACACTCCCCAACAAGCACAGCTACACACCCTACCATACTGCAAAACCTGGTGCTGGTTTGGTTCCCAAACTCTACAGACCCCAGCCATAACCTGCTACCAATAGGACTCAAAGGATCCAATAGCACCATCCTGGTACCAGACAACACAGACATATTCTATGATCCTATGTTTTGGTGGCATAATGAGGACCTGGTGGCAAACATTAAGCCGCTCAACTCATTTCTGCCCAACTAATTATGTTTACAAGCTTTTCCTCGGGCCTACTGTGTAAACCTGACCTGAACGGTCTCTGTTATAAAGCAACACAATTTGGGAACAGACTTGTTCAGCAGGTCTAGTTGGGGCCAGTCAGGTTAATGATATCAAGCACCGAGCTTGCCCACACAGCCTTATCTTATCACTGTAGTTTGTAGCATCAACCTTGGCCTGTAAAGAAGAACAATCATAAAATGTGAAGGGATTGTATTGAAGTAAGTGGTGACAAAGAGAAAAGTAGTGCCCCCCCCCCCCCCCCATTACTCACTGTGCCCCTGCAACTACCTTTATGCAACTGATAACAACTTCCCTTGATCAGGAAAGTTGATTAACGATGCGAAAAAGCGTGCACACTGACCTTCCTCAAAGCTTGAATACACACCAGCTTAAGCAGTAAAACACACATAACGTGTGCTTAACCAGGAAATTAAAGCTGAGAGAAACTCCACGTTAGTCAACACACATGTGCCAAATATTTGCCATTTTTAAAAAAAGCAATCATTTGATTAAAAAAATGACTCTATTATTTGTTCACTGCAGCTAAAAAACAAAAACATAATTTTTTTAGACAAAGAAAAGCAGTAAAAATACTCATATCTTCCACTGCACTTTGACCAATCAACAGGCCTCTCACCTGACTCTCAGTTAATGTTGGTGTCGGTGGTTCAGGAATCTCCGTGTCCACATTCAGTAGGTCCCAGCTGCGCCAGGATGTAAGACGGACAAAACGAACCATTTTCCACAGGAAAAAAAATTAAATTAAATAAATAAGACCCCCGATTTGGGGGGAAAAAGGTCCCGAGTAATCAGAAAAGCAGAGGCACTTCCAGTAAATTTAGGAATTCATTTCCAGGAAAGCACAGTCCTGACAACAGTGCAAGCGGAGAGAAGCATCACACTTTCTTCTCTTGCATAAGTCTCACTCTGTCTGCCTAAGCCTTCAGGTACTGTGTACTGAAGACCAAAGGTCACACAATCACAGTCATAAAGGTGTGTGTGTCTGCTCTGCAGAAATCTCCTCCTCCGGGCATTAGGGGAAGTCCTTTGTCTTTCCAGCACACGAACACGCCTCCTCACCCTTCTCAGGTTTTGGCACCTCCCACACTATATGGGGAATTCATAATGGACTCTTAACAGCTAACATAATTACTGTAATTCTACAAAAGACATGAATCATCTAAAGTATTCACACAGAAAAATGAGCTAGTTTCAGCAGCTAATAGATCTAATAGGTCCAGATACACCATTACTGGGACTTTTTACAAATAATCTTAAGAAGCCACAAATGCTAACGATTAGTCTGAAACGTACTGATAGCTAAAATAGCCAATTTCCACTGGAGAATGACTAAAGATTATTTTTATTATCAGTGAATCTATCAATCGCTTCCTTGATTATTCACTTAGCAAAATATCAGCGGCCTTATTGCGCACTAATAGGTCAAAAGGCAAAGCCATTGAAAAATCCTCAGATTAAAGGAACTTAAATTTTAATATATTTGGCTGATCTGCCAGGAAAAATAATTTTACTAGAATTAATCAAA